TGGGTTCCTGTGAAAGATATTAAAAAGTTGTTAACTGACAGCATGTTTTTGATATTATAATAAACATTTTGTCAGTTGATCATTTTCTGATATCTTTTACAGGAAATGAGATATATGGGATCGAAGTTTACAGTTTGGTTTGCACTCGATTAGAATGTTGAGGGAATATGGGTTTTATTGAATAGACAATACGGTCTCAAAGTTTTTGGATAATGTGTGCAATTGTGCGTAACGGTGTCTGTGTCTACCGTAACCAGCTAAAAATAAATTGGGTTTCTTTTCCTGAAATTTAACTGAGTTTTATGAAGTTAGATCTAGTTCTAACGATTAATAAAGTTAAACATTGAATTTTAGTAATTTTTCTGCTAACTGACAGTCCTAAAAATGTATAAGAGCGTTTTTTGAAACTTCGAGATTTTCAAAGATTGTGCAATTGCTCACCCTATTTATCAGACAAGCGATTTTATTACCACGAGTGTACCAAAGGGCAGAACAAACTGAAGAAACGGCGCGACAATGACGAGTTGTCTTGCGATCTGCTATGGAAAATGCATCAGTTCTGCGACGAGCTGTTCAACACAATGATTGGAGACGTCTATTTACCAGAATTCTAACCGTATCCCCAGAAACCATGCGGGGCATTGCAAACTTTGCCCACTTAAGCGGCGCCAGCAATTGGTGCGATAGAGCGCAATTTCTCGAGGTTTTTTTAGGCGAGGCCGTGTATCGTATCTTCGGAAAGATATAAAAAAATCTTCATTAATAATATCAGAACTTTAAAATCTGGAAAGTCAGACTGACTTATGCTTGTCAGTTAAAAAATATATCATCAGATGTAGTTGAAGTATGGGAAGAACAACAGTTTAAACAATTCATTTCACCAAAATAAATCAATTTCACAACTAAACACAATGTCCACGAGAGCAGTACATTCTTGCTGGACACTGGAAACTTGTTGTACAAAACATTGCAGAACCAAAAAGAAAGTATCGAACACCATTGTGCTTTTCGCACTTTCCATCGACGCATTTGTAGTTTTTGGGACAGAATGCTGAAGTGATGCATCGATTATCATCAAATGATTGGCAGTATCCATGGTGACACACTTCGTTCAGAGGACATTGAGTAGAACGACGACATGTTCGATGAGCTGACAGAACAATTGAAGGGAGGATAAGAAGAATCTTGAAAAAGGATAATGATTATGACCTAGTTTCTATTTCTAAAAATGTTATTTTAAAACGGAAATAAAAAACTAACCAGTAAGAATATTCTCATTGCTCGAATTGGGGATGTAAATGAGAGATTTTGTTTTTGCTGGGTGGTTGGGTAGAGTAATTGACTGCTGACTAAATTTAAATCAAATCAAGCTTGAACAATGAAAAACAGGTGCTTGCCCACACATGGCTGTCAGTCAAATCTAATAGGATTTTTACGTCTACTGGCCTAAAATCATTAAAAATCGTATTCCGTCTGATACGATAATTTTTGTACTTTGGGATTGAAATTTGGGAATTGCAGAAATGTGGCTCCACGAATTCTGCCAAATCTAGATTTGACTTCTTGAATTTTGAATTTTTGGAATCCTGAAATTCTGATATTTTTTACTCCAGATTTTTGTAATGCTGTAATTCGGAAAATCCTAGATTCTTGAATTTTAGAATTTCGGAATTCTGAACTTTTGGAATTTTGGAGTTATGATTCCAGGAATTCTGAAAATTCTAGATTTTTGGATTTCTGAATCCTTGGGTTAATGAGGTGATTCGAAGGTACAAATTCTGATATAAAAATCGGAGCAGTGGAAGAGAAACGGCGGTGGCCGTGTCCGACGATCCCACAGCGACCTATCGTAACCTAATACTTAATTAATTTTCTCTTTTTTTTACTGCTTTTCATAGACTTCACCAAACTTATCACCAAACAAATTGAGAAAATAACAATATTTTTGGGTTACGGTAGTTGTCGTTGTATGACCTTCGACCACGGCCATCGGCGTTTCTCTTCCACAATGCCGAATTCTTATATCGTCTTGCCGAAGATGCCTCAGCTGATCCGATTGGTTGCTAAAATTCCTTTTTCTCTCCACCCTTTTAATCTATCGAAAAACACTTTGTTTGTTCCTGTCGTTGTGTGAAATTTTTGAGTATTCGAAACCAAATATCTTCTTGGCTTTCCTTCTCAAAATTCGTATCTGAGTGCACTTCTTCTGCTATGCTAAGTACCCGATAGTCCTTCTGAACATACGAAACCAATTAGATCTTGTGAATGTGTCAACATATTTTTTCTTCCCTCCGTTTTCTCATTTATTGGTTTTTCTAGTCTTATCCTCCATCTGTTATCTATCAAATAGTCGCCGAGAGCAATAAATAATGTGGTGAGCAAGCACATTGGGGGATTGCTTCCCATCCTTGTTTTTTTACCTCTCTGTGATCTTTTTCACATTTTTATCACACTCTTTCTATCCTTCTTTCTGTTTTTTTAGTGAAGTGACAAATGAGATTTCAAACTGATCCTAGTGACATATGTTCTTAATTCCGCCTTTGACAGAAAGTTCTCTTCAAAATGTTCCGTTTCCTTGTTCTCAAAACCTCAGATCCTTCTTTTTTATCCCAAAGAATCTGTTCTCTCAACTTAAATGAGAGCAAACAGTGTCTTGGATATCACAGAAAAGAAGAAAGTTTGAAAACCGAAGTTCCCCTATTGATCTTGCCGCTCATCCACCCGATCCGAGCCGCCCAATGATACGTGTTCATGTTCATTTTACAGGTAAAGAAATAGAAAAAATGTCATTGATGGAATGAAAAGAAGATGGGTGTATGTCGGAGGATATTCAAACATTATGAGCCGTCCGAACTTACAATATGTGTCACAATTTGTTGTGGTAAGTCAATTTCAACTTTAGGATTGGTTCCAAAATTTGTTTAATTATTCGAATACGATGTAGTCAACGTTGAGCCCATATATCTCGTTTCCTGTAAGAAATATCCCGAAGCCGTAAATTTATCATAAAATCAAAACTAATTTTTTTTTTCAAGCTTTTCCTTATTTCTTTGAATGATCTCATCCTCATAAATTTGTTTTCAGATCCTCGATCACCACCCAGATTCGATCACTGGAACATCTCCAAACCTGGGCAACCACCAAAGATAATATCATGTTCAAGAGGTTCAGAAATTTTCATTTTTTCCATCAAAAATGTTGTTTCAGACTCCACCACTTACGATGAGAATAGAGAGAGAAGATCAAGAAGAAAAATAGTGAAGAAGGGAAAGAAGTCAGATGTTTTCGAAAAACTTGGAAGATCTGAAATTTCAGAAAAATGTGATAATATAGAAGTTCAAATATTATCCGATCAGCCACTTCTTCACTCTGATTCTTCAACATTGATTTCCAATGACGTGGCGATGATGTCCTCACCAGAAATATCGTTGCCAATGGATGAGCCAAAAGAACTGGAGTCAACTGATCGAGCTATGTCTGTGACGTCATTGGATAGCGTAGCTGGGTTGGGAGGAATGATGTCAATGCCAGAGGATTCAGATGATGTTGTCGTGATGAGAAGAGTAATTGAAGAGACGAATTCAGAAGAAACTAAAAAAGTAGAAAAAGAAGAACCGAAACTGAAAGGGAAACAATTCGATCTGGCTTCAAATGGCGACGTGGATGCTTCAGAAATTCAATCGATGATCAATAGCGGGACTACAAACAAGAAGAAAGTTCTTGTTCGGAGAAAGAAGAAATCTACAACTCCAGAATGTAGGTTCCCTATATATCCATTATGGATACTGTAAAACCTGCAATAGAAGGGCCCCCACACTGTTAAATTTGAGCTCAATTATCTCAATTTCTATTCGAGATGTCAAAAGTTTGTCAACTGGCGAATTACTTTTGGTATTATGATGAAAATTTTATCAGTTGACAACCTTTTGACAGGAACCGAGACAAACTGGATCAAAGTCAAAAGTTAGAGGGGCTCTTCTATTACCGGTTTCACGGGGCTTACTCTTTTTCCAGCAGCCCCTCGTTATCGGGATTTCACTGAAACTTCAATCTACATGTGCATTGAAATGAATAAGGAGAACATTGGCGAATTCGTTTGGGATCAAAAATGTACCCGAATCGATGCACTCGCAGCACCGATTTCCGAGTTGAATCGGACGACAACTCCGGAAATTCCAGTTGAAATTCAGATTTTCGATTGATAATAAATTTTTCTCAAAGATCACTGATCACTCTTCAACCGTACACTGTTATTCATCCTTCAATATTTCGAAACTGTTCGCTTTTTTCTTCATCAAACATTCGGCGAATCTAGAAAAATATTTAAAAAATAGTGGGCAATTTATTGGAAACGCAGAGATATCCGCCCACTAAAAACAAACAAGTTCGAAACTAAAAAAAGAAAAGAATCTTGAGTGGTGAGCTCTTTCTTTTCACATCTCAATCAACACACACCTTGAAACAAAAAGGTTATATCAGTTAACAATCCTACAATTTCCCATATTAATCTGACAAAAGATGTCTATTACATGTGCCAGAATTGGTAAGTTCAGTTGATAAGTGTGTATAACACTTTAGATTAAAACTGTAATATTTTTATTTTGGTTATTATCCTGGTAGACAAAAATTGAAGCGGTCGAAGAGAAGCGCCGGTGGCCGTCGCCGAATGTTCCACAACGAAAACTACTGTAACCTAAACATTTTTTTAATTTCTGACTTTTTTTCTCGATTTCTATACGTTTTGGTTTTCAGAATTGTTTGATGAAAAAATAACAGAAAAGCGGCGTAACTCACAATCTGTAAACAAAGAGAAAATGAATCCTGAAATTAAAAATGATTTTAGGTTACTGTAGATCACTTGTGGACCTTTGGCCACGGCCACCGGTGTTTCTCGTCCATAGATGTTTCGGAACTTCTGCTGAGAAACATTTTTTATTTGATGAAAGAAGGCGCTATTCTATAACAACAATGAAAAACATAAAATCTCTAAATTCTGAGTTATCACTTGGGATGTTCCTTCAACAAATGATCTTTTCCGTAATATCATTTCCTCCCCCTCACTAGAAAATTTCAAAAAGCATACATCAGCTGTCATAGTCTAAGAAAAACACACTAGTTCTCGAGAGACCCAGAGAGACAATTTTACAAAAAATTGGGGGATCCCTTCCTCCGTCATTTCGTTTTCTCATTCATTTAGTTGTTTGTGCTCTCAGAAGTGGGAGCACACAGCTTTCTGGTCACCGAATATCTGAATTTGATTTATAAACTTTGATTAATTTTATCCGAACAGAATCCTATGATTACTATTTATAGACAAAGCTCTCTTCAAATTCAAAGAAATGGAACAAAACGATGCAATTCAAAGCAAAGGTATCGACTAGACACCCTATTAAGATTCCTCTCATATTCCTTTTCAGATGACGTCTATTCGAAAGATTTTGCGCCCAAGAAGATAAATAAGGACAGCAGTGAGTATGGAAGGCCGAAGCCAGGAACGTTGACAGAGCAAAGAGCCAAGAAAGCAGGTATTAAAGGGAGAACGAATTTTTTAAAATCGATATTTTTGGTTTTCAGCCGCTCATGTGCACAGAGAAATGTTGACACTTTGTGAAGTTGTAGAAGATTACGGTAAAAGGGAAAAAGAAGACGGACCAATCAGAATCACGTTTGGAAGATTGTTCACAATTTATGTAAATATTTCTGACAAGGTATGATAACTCACGTTATGAATAGTAGTATTTAGAAACAGTACAGGGTGACAACTACCCGGACTGAAAAAAACGGGGATATCCTTAGCCATTAGTGTCTTGGAATCACGAAAATCGGTAGACATATAATTTTACGTTTGATTCAAAGCTACCGAAATTTTCAAAGCGATTCCTCAAGTCTAGGTACTTCTATGATTGCCCAAAAATGAACGGCAAAGCAACTTTGACCAGCAATAACTCAGCTAATTTGAAACTTAGCCAGTTTACTGATGAATATTTGAATTTTTGAAATCAAAATTTGAGTCCAGTACAACGCTTCACTAAAATTTTTTGATAGTACAAACTTTAGCAAATTATGCGCCACTCTGTATTCTTAGTTCTGGACGATAACATTAAAATTTCATGAGATAAGAGTCCATCTGAAATCTATTATTCCAGGTCGTTGGAACACTTCTCCGCGCTCGTAAACACAAAATGATCGATTTCGAGGGAGAAATGTTATTTCAAAAGAGAGATGATCATGTTATAATCACTCTTCTTCTCGAAGGATCAGAACTAAAGGCGGCTATTCGAGCACATGCAGCAGCTAATCCAAAAGATTGAACAATAACTGAAATGTTGTATATATGAATGTTTCCATTTTTATTATTGTTTCTTTCGATATTTGGCATGTTAGCTGTCGGGTTTCAAACTGATTAATTCGTATTATCCCTGGTTTTGTATTGTACTCCTAAAAATCAATAAATCTTTTTTTCCATGTCTCCAGAGAGATTTGTAGAGTTTTTATAGGGCTGCATGTTATCAAATTGAGCGAAAAAAGTTCAAGTAAACCTATCATTAGAGGGAGGGAAAGCATTCTAGAATCCCGCCAAAGAAACTCGTTTTTTTATTTCTTCAACTTGTAGTATAGCTAAGTTGGCTGAAAATCATCTCAGTGTGTTTTAATGAGCATGAAAAAATATTATGAGACTGCTTGGCAACGGATGTGGAATGAGCATGCCTATCAAGAGGGATTATGAAGGAGAAGAAGAAGAAGAAGAGGCACGCAAAAGAAGGAAAAGGAGGTCATCAGCAAAAGAGAAGAGAAACGGAAAGATACTACACACCTGAGGAGCTTTTAATATACATTTCCAAATTCGCTCGCTTACTTCCCATCTTTTTCGACTCATTCTTGTTTTTCGATTCGAATTTTAGTTCCTTTGCTAACTGTGACATTTTTAAAGTTTTCCAAACGTTTTTTTCAGAAATTGAAAAGAAAAATGTCTAGAAGGAAACGAACTGACTCTTCTGGTTTCTCGGATATGTACAGTGCTCCAAAACTATCCAATACCAATTTGGCTCGAGAGATAAGGAAAAGAGAATTCAGCTATGTAGATCGACAGGTTAGTGAGATGACGGAAAGCTAAATTTTTTCCTTTCAAAATTATTATTAAGAAGAGAAGACATGAGTAATAAAAAAGCTCTTTAAAAGATACGAAATTTTTTTTTGCATGAAACTTTCATGATAAAACTAACAAGTTTCATGAATTTTATGACACGAAGTTGATGTCAAAATCTATAATTTTCTTGAACACACAAAAAACATCGATAAGAATATAGAGGCGTTTTTGGCAGAATTTCATAATTGAATGCCACCCTCTAATAGAACGTTCTCCCAGCTATGCATTGAAAAATAAAACGCCATTCCATTCATTTAAAGCTTTTACAGTATATGTAGGTACCGGAAAGAAAAGTGACATATTTGTAAAATATAATGAAGTATCCAGAAGCCGAGAAAAAATATTTAGAGCATGACAAATTTCGAATAATTTTTAGAAAACTTCCTGTTCACTGGGGGAAAAATAAACAAAACTACATGCGTTCAGAATATAAACCAAGAAAGAAAAATAGGAAAAATAAAAAAAATTTAGCAGCATCTTCCGGATATCAGACTCTTTATACATCTCTTACTCCATTCTTCACTTTTCTTTAGAATTTATTGTCAGATGATAAGCTGTACACCTCTTCTCTTCCCCAGCATTATCTCTGAAAAGAGTTCAGAAATAGAATGGGTTATGGAGGAGACGCAGAGTCGACGATGGGTAACTTGAAGTGTGTTATTAGTAGTTGACAGCTTCTATTCTCTAAGCACTCGTATACATCATCTGCTATTCTGAATAAAAATCTAGAATGTCATCTGAAAATCGAAAAATTCCTAGAAGCGGTCGTAGGATCACTTTTAGAGCTAAGAAACACTGGAGACGATTATCGGATATTGTGGATGGAGTTGGATTTTTTTTTAATTTCTATGTTTTCAAACCACAACTTTTCAGAAAGCAAGCAAACCGACTCCGCTGAGTGATGATGAGTGGAAATCGCCAAGGAGTGAGGACTCATTTGATCTGTGAGTTTCATGATTCTTCAGTTACCCTAGTTACTTTATGTCTACCAAAAAAGGAAAACTGGAGATCTCAATTCAATTTCCGGTCTGCAAAGAGTTGGTTACACTGGAAAGGAAATAATCAATTTCAGATTGGATCCAGCTCATGCATCCCAAGTACCAACTACCAGTCATTCTCCACGACCTCTCCCGATGCCACCGGTTCGACCATCAGAAGTCGTCATTCAAATCGATGAAGTAGAATCCCCAATACTTGGCTTGATGGATGATGAACCACAACATGATGCAGTTGATGGACGTGGCAGACTGGAACCATCTTCTTCATTAGATGCAAACTCTCTTTCAGCAACAAGATCATCCAGTGTGATCGAAGATGACGTCAGATCTCAGATCTCTTTCGTGATGAGAGAAAGATTGCATTCAATTGCAAAGGAAGTACATCGTAGAACATCAGCAGTGAGAGAAGATTTAATTCGAGAAACTCCCGAAGACGCTGTATCAGTAGCATCGAATATCCCGAAACAAAATGAACATCGTCCGAGTCTTATGTCTTTGATTGGATTGCAGGTGATTCTTTCATTTGAGAAATACAGTGAAACCTGTAAAAAGAGAGTCCCCTAACTTTTATCTTTGTGCCAATTTTTCTCGGTTCGTGTCACAGATATCAAAAAATTGTCAACTGATAAATTGTTTATCAGATTATCAAAAATATTCTGTCAGTTGACACTTTTCGCATAGGAGCCAATAAAAAATTATCTCAAACTTGACAATATAAGGGCCCTTATAATAGAGGTTTCAAGGTAGCAGTATATAACTAAATTCTGAAGCTACATATCTAAACTATAGTTTGAAAGTTTAAAAAAACCGTTTATTGATTAAAAAATTATGACCAGAAACTCAAAAAATGCTTCTTATTATCCTTCGGACTCTGATTATTCGGACTCTGATCAACTTTTGATTTCTTTCGACTGATTTTTGTGGGTGTTTCCGACCTTGATCTAGACTTTGGCTTTTTTCCTTTCACTCGTTTACTTTCCAATTGACGAGGACTTTTATGACGTGAAGATCTTGGAATTTTCGGAAGTATGGGAGGTGGTGGAGGAGGCGGAAGAATGGGTGGTTGAGTTGGTGGTGGAGGAAAAGTTGGCTGAAAAATGATAATTTTCTACAAGGTTTTTGACAGATCAACTCACCATATCAATCACTTCTGGCTCGGAGAGACTTTGTGTTTTTTGAATTGACTTCATTACTATGTTGTCATCCGATTTACCTCTGTTCACAAATGTTCCTTGATCCGTCCTACTAGGAAGAGACTTTTCGGCCGGAGGACGTGCATGTTTGGGTACAGATGGAAGTTTCGCCTGAAGAAGATGTGAAATACTGACGCCTATTTAAATTGCGAACCTCGATGGCTGTTCCAATGAATTCCGTCACATCGTTTTGTGTTTTCTGAAGTTTAAGAAACTGGGAATCAATATTTTTCCTCTTAACGGATTCCAAATCCGATGACTCTTTTGGAGTTGGCAGTTGAGTTGATCTGAATATTGATGCCTTGTGTTTCTTCTGTCTTTTCCTGTCCAACTGTCTAGCCTTTTCTAGATCCCGAGAAGCTTCCAAAGTCATCACGCTCGTCTCTGGAGTTTTCCCTGACATTGCCTTTTTCAACTCGTTCTCAATATCTTTCAACTTGAATTGGGAAGAATCCAAACACTTTCGTTCTTCGATTAGTTCTAAAAGGCAGAAAACATTATATTCTAAACAAGCAATTGTACTCTTACCGTATTTTGAAACTGATCTGATGATCACCAAAACCATAACTAGAAGAAGGCTAGCAAAAATCCAGGAGACTATTATGCCCTGTGCTTTTGAACTACTGTTGTTGTCAATTCGCATCCATTTGAAATAGTTTTTGATTTCACTGTAATCGAGCTCAGAATCAAATTTGCCTCTTCCGCTCGTAAACTTCATAAAAGACATCCATTTCTCAGGAAGTTTATCCTTGATTTTTCCCAATTCGCACTTCTTTTCGGTTGTATTTTTGGAGAGTGTTTCACACAGATAGAGCTTCTCCTTAGAATCGATTTGATCTAGCAATTTCTCCCTCAACATCAAAATCATTGTTGATTGATTGTAGAGATTATAATTGAAACGAGAGAAGAATTGGAAACAGTAATTGTCGTCAGGATAAACCTTCAGTCCAACTTCTCGACGGTTTATCAGAGCTTCGGATTCGTTGAAATTCGGTTTTGAAGACACACTACAACTTTTGTCAATTCCTGCGACACTAGTGTAGCTACTAGTTAAAATTGTTTGATTATGAAGTTGATCTGATAGATTGAGAGCGTTCTCATGAAGAGTATTCAAGATGATTTTGATTTTTTCAATCGCCTCTTTCCCATTGCCAGCGTGGCTATAAGAATCCTCAGGTATTGAGGCAATAGCCTTATCCCGGTCCACCGAATAGATCGCTTCCTGAAAACTTAGATTCCCTTCTTTTCAAAATGTATGTCTCTCACCATAACATCTTCGAAATCCCAACAATCCCCATTCTGAATATCACAAAAGCATCTCGTGTAGTTGATCCGAACTTCACACTGGATCCATGGTTTTCCCTGTCTATCCTTGACCTGAATATTTTCTCTTAAAAATTGCAGTTTTTTATTTGATTCTCACCCAATTCGCTGCGTCATGACAATCATTTGCACCGCTGAAGTGTATTACTGACAAATTTGGTCGTTTGAATTTTTCATTGTCATAACTTATTTTGATTTCGACGAAATTCTGAATTCTTGAGAGTCAAAAGATGAGACACATAATTTAAATGGACGCCAACTTACCTTTACATTTGAAACATGCGCCCTATGTATGACTATGAACACCACCATAAGAATTAAGACATTCATTACGAGAATATAGAAATGTTGGCAATTTCCATTGGTTTTCTTGCGAAAAAAAGTTTCAAGACGTGGAGCTTAAATAATTATTCAGCAAACTGACACAAATTCAAAAAAAAAAGTTTTTTTTTCAGAAAAATCAACAATAAATACAGGGTGGCGCATAATTAGCCGGACCAAAGTTTGTACTAGTATAAAATTGAAGTAAAGAGTTGCAAGAAACATTTCATCCATCATAACAATACCTAGACTTGAGGAGTCGCTTTCGAATTTTAATTTCTTTGAATCAAACGTAAAAAATACTTTTACCAATTCTCTTGCTTCCAAGATACTTATGCCTAAAAATATACCTGTTTTTATCAGTCCAGATAACTGTGCGCTATCTGTAAGAAGTCCGAATCCAATATAAGTATTATTGTTCTAGAACCGGCCAGAATCTCCACAAAACGACAAAAGTAAACGAGTATGTGGGATCAGTATATATGGAACACTTCATCCATACGGACGATTCTACATGACATGGCTCTCCCTTGTCACTCTCTCTTTTCTATACAATGCATTTTGTATTCCTCTTCGATCGAGTTATCCATATCAGACAGCTGATAATCTAATGTATTGGATGATCGCTGATTACACCTGTGATTTCGTTTATCTTGTCGATATGTTTCTCATAAAACCAAGACTTCGATTCACAAGAGGAGGAATTCAAGTGGTATGTTATTTTTCGTTTGGATTTCATCTCTTTTTTTTCCTATTTCAGAAATCATTGTCTGAAACTTATTATCACTATCTCATGACCAGAACATTTAAATTGGATATAATAAGTGTCCTTCCAACGGATATAGTTTACATATTCACTGGAAACAAGCCAATTTTAAGACTGAATCGAGTTTTCAGAGTGAGACTTTTTGAAATAATATCATTTTTAAGCCTGAAAATATTCAGATCCATTCATTCTGGTTGCTTTTTGACATGTTGGACAACTCATTCGCTAATCCATATGCTATCAGGTGATTAATCTAATGATAACTCATAAAATAAAATAAATGTAGAATCGCCCGTACTCTATCTTATATGATCTACATCATACACTGCAATAGCTGTGTCTACTACAAACTTTCGGCTATGCAGGCTTTTGGGCAGATTGCGTATTTCGAAAATGGAAAATGGTATTTGAACAAATGGGTCTACAATAATCAAGGTAAAAAATACTTGAATTTTATACTGATTTTATGGTCTTTTTTCCCAGGAAACGCTTACATTCGTTGCTTCTATTTCACAGCTGCAGTGGCTACTTCTACTGGTAACAATCCAGCACCAACAAATGTTATCGAGTATGTCAGCTTACTGAAACTCAGTAAAACTAAAAAACAATTTCAGGTATATTTACATGACATGCTCTTGGATGTGGGAGTTTTTGTGTTCGCTTTGCTGCTCGGTCAAATTCGAGATATCGTTTCGAATGCTAATAGAAATCGGGAAGAATTTCAGAGAAAAATGGATCAGGCTCTTGGAGAATGCAAAAAACTAGGTCACTAGTAAACTATTTCGTCTAAAATTTTAGCTTTTTAAGGTTTGCGACAGGAAACAACTAATAGGGTTCGTGACTGGTTCATCTACACATGGCAGCAACAGAAGACTCTTGGTTTGAATTTCTCGAAATATGGTATAGCTCACTATCAGATATTTTTTCAGACGAGAAGAAATTGATTGAAAAACTTCCATTAAAACTTCAAACCGATTTGGCTTTATCTGTTCATTACACCACATTGAGCAAGGTTCAACTGTTTCAAGATTGTGATCGTGCTCTTTTGAGAGATTTGGTGCTTAAATTGAGACCTGTTATATTTTTACCCGGTGATATGATTTGTCTAAAAGTGAGTTGTTTTCTTGAATATTCGCTTTTCAAAAATACAGTTTCAGGGAGATGTTGGAAAGGAAATGTACATCATTAACCAAGGAATTCTTCAAGTGGTCGGAGGAGACCATAATGAGAAAGTGTTTACGGAATTATCACAAGGAGCTGTCTTCGGTGAAATCAGTTTACTGGCAATCGGAGGAAACAACAGGAGAACCGCATCAATTAGAGCCAAAGGATACTGTACTTTGTTCGTTTTGGCAAAAGAAGATTTGAATGATGTTATCAGATACTATCCACAAGCACAAGCCATTCTGAAAAGGAAAGCAGCTGCAATGTTGAAAAATGATAAAAAGAGTGATGAGAAGACGGAGAAGATAAAGCAACAGGCAGATCTAGAGGATAGATGTAAAATCAATCCACGACAAGTACCTAAATTGATTACGGTTGGGGAGAATGAATCAAATAATTTTGATAATTTCGAAAATTTCAGCTCATTGCCAATATGGAAGAGATGAATGAAAACAAAGGAGTCCGAGATCTCAAAAAAGCAATTGAGGAAGAAACAGGTCTCTCGTTTTGCAGTGACAATCTCAAAAAAACACATTGTTTTCCAGACAAATCTCGCCGTCAATCGATTTATTACCCTTGGAGTACTCTTCAAAGAGATGACGATGATGAAGATGACGAATGGATGGATGAAGATTTGTCAGATATTGGTGAGGATTCTGACATCGAACCTGTGAATCGTGAAGGACCAATGGATGATGACGTGGATCCTATGGAAGACATTGACTTGTCGGCAGAAGTGCCACATTCCGACGAAGAAGGCGATAGACCAGGAACTTCAGGAACTAGGAAGTTGCACGCTGAATGAACTTGTTAACATTTTCGAATGGTTTGTATCAGTATAATATGTTTGAAGATTGTCTTATTGTGAATTGTCTTATTGTGAATCCATCAGCCTGAATCGGAGAATAAAAATAGTTTTTTGAAAAAAAAAATAACTCGCGGTTTTTTTGGGAATTATCTTTGAAAAAGTTTTTTTGGCAAAATATTCAAGCTTTCGCGTCGAGACCAACCTCTTTTTACTACGGTACAGAGACGTTAGCGTCCGAAAGCAATTGTGAGACGTTCCGAAAAAAAACCTTTATTTAATTGAATAGAGGGAGCAAATACTCCAAGAAATAGCTCCAGAGAAATCAGTTTTTCGGTTTAATAGACTTCTCAATTCTCGAATTTTTTTCTCTCAATTTTTGAAAAAATACCTCAGAGAATCCTTCGTTAGAGGATTTCTCGCGAATCAAATTTCAGACAATGATCTATCGGATATGACTTTCAAAAAAAAGGTGGATCCGTCAGAGAATTCGTATCCGAATAACTCTAGTAATCGGATATATTTTTCTGTATCTCTTACAAGCCTGCTGTCAATTTCAGAGGAAAACTTTTTTACCATACTTTCTCAAGAAATTTAGCAATTTGAGAACCTATTTTCCCACTCACCCATTATTGTCCCTTCACAATCGTAACATTATAGTTACATAATACGGATTTACTTGCTGTTCGTTTACCCAGATTAATCTTTTTCATGAGGACTCGTCTGATCTCATCAAACCAGTTTTTACATATTTTTTTTTGTCACTTTCATTCATTTTTTTTATTCAAACATCCTCTATCCCATCACAATCGGCCCATAATGGCAACTGCTGTGGAAAAAGCTCTACTTAAACAACCGTACTTTGACCTAAATACTCTTTGTAAAACTGTCTTTGTGACTTATAAAGCTGGACCCAAATTAGACAAAATTGTTACAGTTCAATCTCAATATGTGGTGAGTTTTCAAATGTCTGAGAAAAGTTTTGAATTTGAAGATTTAGGATATTTGTAACAAACCTGGTGTCCGAGGAACTGTGGTTTCGTTGGCTGGATCTCCAGGATCTCATAATGATATCAAGTACATGAGAGATTCTTTCGAGAAGCACAATATTCGTTTGGTCTGCACAAATTGGCCTGGATCAGAGTTTGTCACAGGTACATAAATTCTATATACTTTTTTCTGTGAGGAATTGATTTAGGTGGTCTCCGTGATAGCTACACAAACGACGAACGCAACTCGTATGTTAAAGCATTGATGGAAAAATTGGGAATGAAAAAAGTGGAAAAACTGATTGTGATGGGACACTCTAGAGGAGGAGAAAGTGCACTACAAATGGCTTGTATTCTGTCTGTAAGTCTAAAATTCCAGAATATTGAAATTTATGATAATTGAAGGAGGACAGAAGTTGGCCACTGATCGGAGCAGTCATGATTAATTCTCCTGGATTTGTTCCACATAGAGGAATTTCAATGAGGTATGTCTAGTTGAAGAAACCAATGACATTGTTTTTTTTTGGCAGAATGGGAACAATTAACACACTCGCATATCTCATAAAACTTCGATGGAAAGCAATTGACAGTGTTCTGTTCCCGGTTCTTGATTGGTGTGAGTCTTAATAAAACTTGACTTCGGCTTGCAACTTTTGGTAAGAAGTTGAGAGGGGTTTGGCTTTTGAACGGATATTGGCCAAGTTTTGGTGGGCACTTGCCCAAAAACAAATGTATAGCGGGCCATGGTCAGATTTTGGTCGGAAGTTTAAAATTGAAATACTATTACTTAGGTTGGAATCTTCTCAGCAAATTTTTGGCAGATGGGTCCCCATTTGGGTGTCCCAATGGTATTCTTAACTGAACAAGATGTCCTAGCGTGCCGAAAAATTGCTGAGTTCCCAAGTTTGGTCGGCTTTAATAGCGGTCTTGTTCGGAATCTGACCAACCTCTGACCATAAGTTGCCGGCGACGCCCGAGAAACATTCTGCAAAAATTCGGTCGTTTTCAGTTTACAACGATTTTGTCGGATTACGTGTAGCTGATGGAAAAGTGTCAGCTGCTGCAATTCTTCCAATGCAAACATTTGCATTCGACAAACAGAAGGTCTCGATGGACGAAATGAAAAAGAAACCATGGGTCAGTTCGAAAAGTTTTAAGACATCAAAAATTCCTCAATTACTATTGCCAGGTTCGAATGTTTTATGCCTACGGATCGGATGATTTTCTCGTCGACGAATCAGATTCGGAAGAGTTGGCAATGTATTTCAAAGGGGATCATTATGTAAGTCTCCTCAAGTAGATCCCGATGAAAAAGAAGTTGCAGGTGATTCATAACAGAAAAGAATCTGAAGAAGCTATACCGAAAATCTGGGACAGCTATGCCAGAGGTCAATCATATGTGACTGCAAACTTTACGGCGGAAGGTCATTATCTCCAGAAGACGTATCCAGAATTTCTGATTCAAGTTTTAGGCGGAATGTTTGATGTAGAAACAAAGGGGCCCAAATAAACATGTTTTATTAATTTACAGACTATTTACAAATAAAATACAGTAGGAAAAACAAAAAACAAAAACAGATACATAAAATATGTTTGTGGTGGTGGAGTTTGATTAGGATATATCGATTGTTGAAGATCACAAAAAACAAAGATCGAGAATCATGCAAATAGATGTGGGGCATTGTAAGAAATAATAGCAGTACACATGAAGAGAAATGCGGAGAAAGCAAGGAAACAGACACGATCAACGACTCGACTCGCGAACATCCAATCAGCTTGAAGAGCGTGCATGGCTTCTTCTTTTCGAACACGAGCCGAAATCACACGAAGTTCATTGAGAATGTGATGAAAGTGACGTTCTTCGGTTTGAGGCTTCGAATTGTTCGATTTAAAAATGTTATTGTTATTTGATAGATTCGTTGGCGGAGAGGATGCCTTGTGAGTGATCGAACCGTTTTCCATCGGACGCTAAATATGTTTTCTGATTAGTCATATAAATCAGAAATGGGTCAACGTACCGTTACCTTTGTACATGTGTATTTATTTATTGAAGACTCCAGTCCTCCATTCATTTGGGTCGTTGGCAATCCTCCCATCCCAACAATCGCCGCGTTGGTTTTTTTCGGTGAAGGGGATTTCTTATTATCTGGATTACCAGTTGACAAATCTAAATGAATTGCTTTGTCGACTGCAGAATGTCCATTTCCGTTCGGCCGAGTCAAGACATGGCGTTCTACTTCTATTAAGTATTGACGTTGGTTTCTGAAAACTCTTCGAACCTTAAACTGATATCTTTCTGTGTTCTTACTTCTTATTTTCCGGTTTGTAATGTGCTCCATGAACTGACATTTCTAAAACATCAGGACGCTCCATCCCAAGTAGAGTTGGCAACCAGTTCAATAGTAGACTTTTCAACTGAAATGTAAATTTTCAATTTTCTGAAACTCCACATGTTTTCCTCACAAATTGATGCATAGGTTTGTATTGTTCCGGAGACCGGTGATGGAAATTGAGAGCAATTACAGTAGCCACAACAGATGCACCAACTTGGAACATAATACATGAGAAGTATATTTCTGAAAAAGAGGATTTCATTAATAATTTTTTTCATTTATTACTCACGAATCAATGGCAAAGCATCACTTGTTTGAGGCATTGCTTCGGCAACCATAATCATGAAAACGCAAAGAGACATGAAGATAGTAACACCTAGAAGATTGACTTTCAATTTAGTATAATCGGAAAAACTGACCTAAATTTAGTTTCTCTCCACAATCCGCCGGTAAAGTGAAACTCAAGAGAGCCAGTGATGAGATGAGCATACAAGGGAGCAAAAGATTGAATCCATAATAGAGAGTCCTTCTACGGATTGAAACAGTGAATGTGACATCATAATATGGTTCTGGACAACATTCATAGAAGAAAATAGATCGTCGAGATGTCAATCCAAGAAGTTCCCATTCTCCGTTGGGTTTGTAGGTAGCCGGAGAGATTGTAGTGTTGATGAGATCGGTAAAAAATCCTGAATACGTCCAAGAACCGAATTTCATTGTGCAGTGTTGAGTATCGAATGGAAAGTAAGCAATGTCGATTGCACAGCTGGAACGGATGATGGCTGGAGGGATCCACGTGACGTTTCCGGTACTGAAAATGACTTTTAAAATTTTAGGATCAACAAAAATAGACTTACTATAACACAACAGCATTCACAGGCCAAGTACTATCAAATTGTTGATCTACACTGTTGTATAATAATACATCGGGCTTCCAGATATTATTGATTGGCAGTCGAACTTCTTTGATGTTCCCGAATTCCGATGGATCCCATGTCAAGTAATGATCGGTCCAGGACATTCTCAACCAAACATTGGAATTCATTATCTGGTGTTTCTCATCCTAAAAAAAAAGATAATTATTTGTAAAAAGTCAGAAAAAACTTACAATATCTAGAATTTGTTGGTAATCCATTCCGAGATGTACCACGACAGCTTCACTTTCATTTCGAACTGGTCTTGCCAATTTGTTGTAATTCTCAGCCAATTTTGCATACAGTCGACGCTCATGGTCACCCGTCCAAATTACTAAAATTGTTAATTAGATTACAGAAAAAGGACATCAGCATTTTTTTCTCAAAAATTCCAAAATCCTGATTTTACCTTTAGCACCTTCGGATCCATAAATGATCATGTTAGCAATGACTATCAGTTGACAAATGTTGAACATCATTTAGTCTGTTAAATTTTTGAGGAATTCACACCAAAGAACTTCTCGAAGAGCCAAGAAAATGCTGGACGACAACGAGGAAGACAAATTGGTAAATGTCATGCTTTTATTTTGGGAAAAGGAAGAAGAACATGGAGGACAAAATAAGATTAATCGGAAAGAATACTTCTCATTCAATTCAGAATACTCGCTCATTCCAACTACAGTAACCCATGGAAAACATGAAGATGAATAATAGTAGATAAAGGAGAGGAGCACACATTCTGAGCCCATTGAGCACATCAATCTTGACGTATGGGAGAATAAAAAATAAAGGAGAAAGAAGAGGAAGAAGGAGCATAGGTTGAAAATCACAGAAATTTTTGATTCCAGAGGAGAAGTTGGATGAAGATCAGTCAAGATTAGAAAGAACATACCTTAAACAGTCTGATAGAACGTCACCTCTAACTTGCAACCTTGAGTCAATTTTTCTCGGTTCCGGAGAGGTATCAGAAAGCTGTTAACTGATAAAACGTTTATCATATTACCAAAGACAATCTGCCTACTTTTGATATTTCTTATAGGGAACGATATAAAATGAGCTCAATGTTGAAAGGGATGAGGGTAATTCAATTAGAATGTTTACAGTATACTTTACAATTTTAGGGCGAATTTTTTGAAATATCAGCTAATTGCAGATTGTTCGAATTCAAACTGCAAGTGTTCTAAAAAAATGAACGTTGCTTTTTTGTTAATTTTTCTTTTGGAGAGGTGTCAATTTCAGATCTAATTTCAGCAGTTGATCATCTCACCGCTTCAAAATTGGAGAAAAATATGCTAGACAATTGAATTTACGAAAAAAAGTGGGTTGGAATAAATATATTGAAAGGAGAGATAGAAAATACTATTCCAGTGCTACTCTTTAAAATTCTAAAAGTGTTCGTTTTGAAAAAAGAGAAACTAGCATCTGCTCTGGAAGAAGATTAAGCATTGAGATTGATAATATGTAGGCAAACGGGAGGGCCTATCCAAGATTTTGACCTCTTCCCAAGAGACTCATCTTCAGAAGACCTTCTTTTGAAAACCGCCCATGATCATGAGCTTATTCAACTCTTTTTCCTTTTACTTGTTTAGTTTTTTCATGTTTTTTGAGATAGGAAACAAAATTTGAGGACGTGTGGAAGTTGCAGAAGGAATCATGTGAGTAAACACTAGAAAAAACTCATATGCATAAAACTTTTTTTTTTGGTATTCGTTTGAGAGAGGTTTCCGGAAAAAGATATTTTGAAAATTTGTAGAAAGAGCATTCTAGAGAAACCTTTTGTACATAGATATATGGGAATTAGAAAAAAACATGATGAGAGAGAAATTGAGAAGAAAAATGAGATGTGTTCTCTCTGCACCAGAGACTAGTCTGTGGATCATAGAAACTTATTCTGAGAACTTGAGTATCCGATGAGATCAGATATTCAGTTTCTAGACTACGTAGGAAACTGCTCTAATTGTAAGACGCACATATTTGTAATTTCGTTTCAAAAACAGTACTATCTGAGAATGTGCTACTTTTTCTAGCCGTCAGATAATTCAGAAGAGCTAATTTTTAAAAACCTCCCTACGTGGACATTGATCAGTGGTTTTTCTTGGAAATGGTGGGAAACTGACAAGGGAAAGAATTTCAAACACTGTGTTATTATTCTGGTCTACCGTAAAACCTGTATTGGAAGGGTCCTTGAAATTGAAGGGCCCCTCTAGAGACCCACGAAAAATACCGTAAAATTCTATTAGATAGCCACTCTTAATTGAATGCCAGCCTCTGATATAGTGCCATCCTAGAGCACCTCCGAACTATAGAATGCCAGCCCCTAATATAATGCCACTGCGGATTTGATGTCACTGTGGTAAAAGTTGAAGAATAACACAAAAAAAAACATTTTCTGGTTTTCTAACTTTTTTCAAGCTTAGAAAAGGTACTGTATTTGCAAAAAAATGTTTCACGATAATATCAGACTCCGAAAATCTCTTAAAAAAGTAGAAAAATCAAGAAAACCTCGAAAGTCATTTTATGAAAAAGTTGAAAATCGAGTCCTTTTTTGATGAGTTTTAGTAGAAATTGGCTCCGAACCATAAAGTGCCAGCCTCTAATTGAATGTCAACCCCTAATACAGTGCCACCCCAGGCCACCCCCAAACAATAGAGTGCCATGGCTATCTAATAGAGTTTTTACGGTAAAAGTGTTCCCTCTAATTGAAGAGACCCTCTATTTGAAGTGTCCCTTTGTTAAATTACTGAGAAACGGCTGAAAATTTTTCGGCTGCAGCGTCATTGAAATTAAACCAGAAAAGTAGTAAAGAGTTACTTTTTAAAAACTTTTCCACATGGTCCATGTGACATGGACATTGATCAGTGGTTCTAGTCAAAAATAGTGGGAAACTGATCAGGGAAAAAACTTTCAAACACTTTGTTATGGGAAACAGACAACATAAAAATTACACTTCAGTGCAGGTTAAACTATGATGCTCTACAAAAAAGAAGATAAAGAATACAATGAGCTGAAAAACATCTGTGACGTCTAACAGTTGTAAGATTTCTCAACGAAAACGAAATTGTGTCAGAGGAAGCTCGAGATTTGTCTTCCTTTTGTCTCTTCTAAAACCAAAAATCGCACCGTAACAAGTGGAGCGAGAGTAAATGAATTGTTAAGAAAATGAGAGGTTTGTCTTCTCGTCGTCACTCTCTTCCCCAAAAAAAGAGTCTTGAGCCTCTCATCTTCTGTTTTTTTAAGCTGTGAAAACGGGCGGGAAATGAGACCTGAGAGCAAAAAATGGGTGGAAAAAAGGGGGTGAGAAGGGGAAAGGGTATGAAGAGGCCACCAAGATTTACCGACTTTTTGAAATAAGAGAAGACGTAAAAAAATGAGAAGACGTCTTTGCTGAAGTCGTTATTTAGAATTCTCAACAACGACGACGCGCAGTTTCGTGGGAATATTCGGTAAGGTTTTGAACAAAAGGAAGCATGTGATGCAAAGAGTTCTTGGAATATATAGTGTCGAGTTTTAGGTCATCATCAGTCTATAGCCCTTTTAAGGGAGATCAAATGATGGAAGTTTGAGAACAGAGCATGATAATGGGGGTTGGAAATGGAAAATTTGTTTGCAAAGCGGGAGAGAAACTTCTGATGGCAATACTATTTCCGGATGTGGATGAAAAATTGGCTTTCGAGATTTCAACTGAATCCTATCAGAAATAGATTGTCTAACTTTGACATAAACTGTTTCAGATTGAATCTTCGAGAAAATAGGAATTTGGCGACTTGGAATGCCCCAACTTTTTTTATGAACTATAACCAGAGATGTCCGGATTCCGTATTTCGTATTCCATAATCCGTGTTTTTTTCGTATTCCGTTTCCCAGATTCCAAGATTTTCTTTTGTTCCGAATTTCGGGTGCTCGATCACAAGAAAATTATTTTTTCCGGGTTTCTAGCAATTATGTTAGACTGGAAGAATTATCTGCCACGAGAATCGTTTGTAAACTTTTGCTACTACTGATGCAAAATATAAGGGTCTCGCGTGTTTTATATTATTTTTTTCTGCTCACTGGAGACATTCGAATTCTGGAGTCCGTTTTCCGGATTCCAAGAAAATGATTTTATTCCAGATTTCATATTCCGGATTCGGTTTCTCGAAAAGTCATTTTTCGGACATCTCTGGTTAGAACCAGAAGCCGGTGAAAACACAACAGAAACTTTTCCGGTAACACTTTTCCGGTAACACATCATAACCAAGAGCTATTTTCATCGGAAAAGGCTGATCTATTCTAAACACAATACCTGCTTTTTTGAATTACTATTACATACTAGCAACTTTAAATATTGCCAAACCATTAATTTTAATTTAACCCACCTCGAAAAAGTGCAGCTAATAGAACAATTTCCAGTATTCGACTCATCGTCGTCGTTTGTCGTGACGGGACATTGGTGAGACTTCTGAAACCCAAAAATACATTGAAGAAGCATATGAAAAAGTCTTTAAAAAGTGTAAGCGGGTAAACTAACAAAACACAAGAAATCTGATTAAACGTCTTCTGATTCTCTAGAATATTCCCAATCTTCTCACGATTTGAGTTTCAACTTCAAAACGTCGGTGGGTGGGTCTACCACAGAAGAATCATAAGATAATGTATTCGTCATTGTGAGGACAGGAGAAATTTCCCAATTTGGTCAGGTAAAAGGGGAAAAGTATCCGATTACTGAGAATACAAAAAAACACAAAAAACGAGTAAAAACAACAGAAGAGATGGAAAAATGGATGCAAAATATTAGGTATCAGGAAAGTAACTGTCCCTTGTTTGATTTGTGAATAATACAAAAGCAGGATTAATTTCAAGATTAGCAGTATGCACCGTCGTGGTCCACGACATGTTGGCAATGTTCAGATAACTTGTGGATACAATACCTTCAAAAGCCAGCTAGCCGCGAATCAAAGTATTCATTTTTTACTGTTTTTCACATAAATGCAAATTTTCGTGTTCTCTAGATGAGGTTGTATCTCTCCGAATATCCAATAATCTGATAGAGCTCAGTCGGGACTATAAGTAGGTAAGGGAGAACGGTCCCGCTGAAGCTGCTCAGGTCTGACTTGACTGCAGCTAAAAAATGAAAAAAACCTCATGTTCACGGAAAGTCACGCCGTACCTGAGCCGCTTTGGCTGGACGGTTCTCCTTTACCCCCGTTAAAGACCTGATTCAGCTCTATCAGATCATTAGTTATTCAAAAGTATACGACGTCATCTGGAGCTTAAGGACTTTAACACAATTGATGCCTGAAAAAATGGACTGGAGGGATACTTTGACTTGCCACTAGCTGGTGCTTTTGGAGGGGTGGTACCCACAAGTTACCTGAACATTGCCAACATGTTGTGGATCACGACGGTGCATGTTGCTAATTTTGGATTACTCTTGTGTTTGTGTTATTTACTAATAAAAAATGGACAGTTACTTTCCTGCCAACCTAATAGCTGGAAATAAATGCAAGAGATGAGTCAAAATGCAACGATTTTTGGAAGAAAATAAAAATTTTAATTTCCAATGATCAGAATTCTGACCCACTTCCTGAAAAACACTCTTGGAAAAAAGACCTCTGTGGAGGAAATGAGCAATGGGAAATTGAACAAAAAATAGAAATAGAAAATTCAGGGATGTCTCAGAAAATGAATATGTATTAAATTTCGTTTTCCAATCTCAAAAAGTTTCTTTTTCGAATCGAAGATTATCCCTTTTAGACACTTAAGATGGGAAGATCGAAGAATATCACACAAGAAAATAGTTTTTTAATTGTTGCATGAATTTTAAACTTATAGTTGAAAAAAATAAGCAGAAGAACCTGAAAAGTATATACATATATATATATATACCACTTTTTGATATATTTTGCAGAAAATGAGATATATAGGCTCAAAGTGGACGATCCGGGTGTCGTTCTATTAGAGGTTTTACGGTATATATATATATATATATATATTTGGATTATATGTAGTAAGAATTCATTGGGCAAATAAAAAGGACCGGAAACCTGGGAAATTCAAAACAAATAATCAAAAATGTCTAGAGTTGTCTTTAAATGTATAAAACAAGAGAAATTTTATTGGAATAAGAATGGGTGGAGATCTAAACAACTGAACGAGTTCTGAAGTTTTCTAGATTTTCTCCACAGTTTCTAAATCCCTAATCTGGTAATTAAGTCTGTTGAAATTGGTTTCATCCACATCTCTTCACGTCACTTAACCGGAAAATAAGGAAATCAAGAGAAATCTCACTGAATATTTTTCAGATATCAATCATCAGCTTCCAAGAAGATTTCTTGAATTTCAACTGGAAATATAGGAAAAAGAGAAATTGTGGTTTGAAGGGAATGCAATTGTATCTTTAGTTTTGCACTTTTACTCTCAGCTATAAAAACCTCCAAACTCCAAATTGCATGAAAATTAAACCCATTCAATTTGAATTCTCCAAATGATACATTACATAAAATCGAAAGTTAAAGTTTAGGTCACAAAGAGCCACGTGCTTTCGAAACTCATCTCGGAACACTAATGTTGAACTTTGTGGACCTCATGAGTTTAACCAAATCTGTCCGAAATTGAGCCCCAAAAATCGGGGCAGCACTCTTTTTATTTTAAAGAGCCAAAAAGAGTCGGTCCTTCGCGCGAGGGTGTCTGCCCCTCGGGGCACGGAAGACATGAAAAATGGAAAGATGATGATGATAATATTTTGTAGTATTTCAGCAAGAAATAGAAAAGAAAGGAAATGAGGAAATTGAAACAATGCGAAGGAGTGGATATTTCGACGAGAGATGATGAATAGGTCAAGGTTTCATCTGACAGTATTATGCTGGTGTGCAAAAAATTGAAACTGTGGAAGAGAAAACACCGAACTACCGTGGATAAATATTTAACAATTTCATTTTTTTCTCGATTTTCGTCCGCGGTTCGGCAATTTTTTAGGGTTAAAAATTTGATTGTCGATTTGCTCGGAGGTTTTCATCACACAAAACTGGTTGAAAAGCAATAGAATTTGAGAAAAAATGTTTCCACTAGAAACAAGCCGGAAAGAATCATAAATTCTGAGTTCTTCAAAAGCGCTCCTCTTGAAAATAAAAAATTCTAATACTCATAAAAACTTGAAAACAAAATAACTTTCAAACCCTTGAAATTTGTGGGCGGGTGCATAGATACAGTAATCCTAGTCATTTACTCACAAATGTATTAGATCGACGGTTTTACGACCGCCCACTTATGGAAACCTGAAATACCTGAACAAACTGAGGCATGAAATACTAATAGTCGGTCATAAAACATACCAAACAAAACTAGTTCCAACAAGCTTCGCACCCCCCCCCCCCCCTTCCCCCTACAACAAAGAAGAGCCAGAAAAAAAATAGAAAATAAATTATTTTTTCGGAGCTCTTCTTCTTCTTTTCTTTTCTTCCGAAGAGCAACATGATGAGCATATGAGTAGTAGTTTTGACAGAATTGAACGGGCGGTCCCAAAACAGGAAAAACAAGAAATTAAACACAAGAAACATAAACATAGACAAGGAAAAAATAAGGAAGAAGAAAAGGGTTTAAAATAAATTCCCGGTTCAGATGAGATGAATGCATTTGACACTTTCGATAAAAATGGAAACCATGAAGAAAAAAGTATTCTCATCCTCTCAAATTGACATCATCCGTCTAGGTATTTTCTCTGTTCTCTGGAAGAAAATTCTTTGAAAATCCGGAAGAACTGAAGCAATTATTCTAGAAAAGGAACCGGAAGAAAACTGGAATTATTCATGATAACTTGGTTTAAATTTGCTTTCAAGGCCTTGTATCTTTTGTTGGTTTTTCAGGTTGAATTTTAAAAGTCGAAATGCCAAAGACAAGAAAATGATGAAGGGAAAGTTCATACTTACCAATGGAGTTTCTCTTTTCATTCATTTTGAAATGTGAGGGTTATGATGTATTACTTGATAGAATGCAAAAAACTTATACATGCTCAATTAGACAACTTCAGGAAAGAGACATAGCCAATAAATTGAATCAATTGGATATCGAATTTCGAGTTTTTTAATCAGTACACTTTTGAAACTTGTCATTTTTCATAATTTTTGTTGATATGTTCAGGAATATGAATTTTTTCAATAAATCCTTTTTTTACATCTTCCATTTATTTTTCTCTTTTCATTTTTCTCTTTTCCAAGCCGGTTTACAAGAAGGAAGAATCAAAATTAGGGTTTCCATTTGGGCGGGTGAAGAAGCGGGCTACCCGCTACCCACCCGGGGGGCTCCCACCAGCGACCCCCCCTTGCAATTAAATGCGTGTGAATTTTAATAAAATTTTTAAGGATAACCACGTATTTTCCAAGAAGAACTGAGTTTCTCAAATCAAAAAACTACAAAAAAGATAATATTTTCTTCACGTAAATATTCGCGGGGGGTCAACGGGGGGCCGCGGGGGGTGAGCCCCCGGGTGTGTGCGGGCGGGTGAATCGCCCCCCCAAATGGAAACCCTAATCAAAATTTAGTGTGATACTGACCGAGATTGGAAACTTTGCATCCATAATTTTTTTAATTTCTAGTTTTTCAGCTATGTATTGATTTCTAATGGCCCCCTTTTTGACCAGTTTTTTTAACTGAAAACGTGAAAAAAACAAGTGTCTTTCAGAAATTGGCAAATAGCGGAAAAACTAGGAATTCTCCAAAATTTTATGGATGCAAAGTTTTTATTATCGGTCAGTTTCACACCCTCCAAAATTTTCAAAATGATCGGAAACTTGACAAACGAGCTCCAACCTCCTGAAAATGATCAAAATGGTCGCAAATCAAGTAGTGAAAAAGCGCTCACGGAAATTAACCAACAGCCGTGATAAATATACAGTACTGGCCAAAAAGAATGCGTCGACAGGTTTTTTGACTGCAACGTTTTTCAAAATAGAGCAAAAGGGTCAAACTTCTTTGTAAAATGTAGTAAATGATACGAGAAAAAATATGAAAAAACAATTTCATCCATAAACGGGAAACAAATTTTTTGGATAATTCTGATTTTTTGGATGGTTTTTCGAATAAGACCTGAAAAATAATTAAAACATAAAAAGTACCAAAAATTTACCACTTGGAATTGTGAAGTGACAGTAGAGAAATCCAAAATGCCTAAAATCACTAGTTGACACTTTGCACACCCACATCATATCTTAATGAGGTGGTACATGTTTAAAAATTGGGCAAGAATCATCATGATCAAAAAGTACTTTTCACCTTCATCATCGTTTTCTATTTTTTCCAGATTTTTGAAAAAACCATCCAAAAAATCCGAATTATCCGAAAAATTGGATTTTGTCACCAAAAAAATTTGTTTCCCGTTTATGGATGAAATTGTTTTTTCATATTTTTTTCTTGCATCATTTGCTACATTTTACAAAAAAGTATGACCTTTTTGCTCTGTTTTGAAAAAAGTTACAGCCAAAAAACCTGTCGATGCATTCTTTTTGGCCAGTACTGTAATACATATTCAGAAGTATTCAGATTAATTAAAAGTTTCTGGACGTTTCGGAGACCAATGTTAGATACGGATTACTGTATTTTTCGCCAGTAATAGATGATTTGAATGTCAGACATATCGTTTCTTCATTTTTTTTGTTGTACTATTTTCAATTTAACAAATAAAGTGATTTTTTCAAAGTACATTTTTGTAGGTTCAAGAGACAAAGAACCAATTTCAAGAAAAGGTTCAATGTTATTTGATTCAGAAAATCGATGATGTTCTGAATTTCTTCATCTGGATTTCAGGTTCTCGCCCATAAAACAGTTACAGGTCCTATCTTTCAAAAATCCTTTCAAAAAGTGTTTACCTCCAAAGATCACGTCTGTCTCAATTTGGGATAAAATAAACAAATGCTTTAAAATGTTGTACCTTGATAAGAAACTGGCCATTAGTCACCAAGGTTTCTGGCAATTTTAAAATATCCTAAGCTAACGGTTTTCTGACGATGATAGCTTCAAAAATAATCTCCCCATTCGACTGAATTTCCCAATTTTCTATAAATTAAAACAATGCTTTCTTCCCATCGAAGTACGCCGGGTCATCGTCAGGTCAACCAGCTGACATTACACAGTGCCGAAGGCGTGTTATAGTTTTATAATGGTCGCATTTTGTATTGAACTCATGATTGAAATTGGATGGTTTCGAGAAAGTGTTTATTTTTATACAATTCAAATTTACATATGTTCAGAGTTCAAATGTTTGACATTTAATTTGGTTTAATAGTTGTTGACAATCAATCGATCTAATTAGTAGAGAGCCCAGTCTTCGTCTTCCTTATCCGTCTTCTTCTCCTTCATCTGAGCAGCTACTTGCTCATCGCTAGTTGGCCAGACGACGGCTTTCACAGTTTCAACGACAGCCTTCTTGACGATGGAATCAGTGACGGCAAAATAGGCACAGGCTCCAACGGCGGCGATGGTGTAGAGCATTTTTGGTTTATGGATGGTCTGAAAAATAATGAAAGGTTAACTTTCTTCTAGCGTCGTTGAAGTTTTATAAATTAATGAAAGAAGAGGAAAATCGAATAAATCTTGACGCAAACATGAAAACAGCAATATTTTTAACATCTAGAAATTCATACTATGCAAAACGAAAAGCAAACAACTTGAAAAAAGAGAAAACATGACTTATAAAAACTAACAAAATCGATAGGTAAGCAGAGAAACAACACATTGGTTGAATGCAATGGAAATCGCATGGAGGGCGCAATCTCGAGAAAAGAAGAAGAAGAGAAATAGTGTAGCATGTTTTAGAGACAACCGAGAAATGAGGGGACGCGCATAGGGTGAACAGCTGAGAAGAAAGAGAGAGTATGCGGAGTTGGAGAGGAGCAGAGAAAATGTGGGTAAATGACTGTTTTCATGGGAAGGTCTTGGTAAGATCTTCCATGTGCGATCACAGAACAGATTGGAGGTCCATCTGTCCCCATCGACCCTACTGACTATGACATTCCAAGAAAGAATAGAATATTCAGATATTTTATTAACAGAGAAAAACAAAGAAAAAAGACCAATCAAAAGACCAAAACTCCAAAAATTGTACCAAATTCTTATAATCTACTTCTATTCTCATTCTTATTTACAATTGGCCTCAGAGGACCATCCACTTTCGTCAATCTCATCCAATCGGGCATTGGAGGTGGAGATCCAAGTTTTCTTTTGAAGAAATTGATTGTATTGGCCCATGTTCGTTCTTGAGACTTGGCATGAAGCACGATTTCACCTCCATATCCACAGTAGAATCCTTGGAATTTCGCATAGACAATGTCGTGATGAGGGAAGTATGGGGGCTCCATAATATGTCCCCCATTTACCAATTCTAACTAAAAAAGATGAAATATAGTCTCATTTAATTTATAAATTCGCTTACTTCAACATAATGACCAGTTTCCTGAAGTTTCTTCTGAATATGAAGATTCGAATGAATCGATGGCGCGCACAAATCGTCTACTGATCCCTGAAAACCAAAACCATACAGAACGTCTACAAATATCTGAAATGCTTACAATAAGTCGGTAAGCGGTGTCTTTTGGAATCCGATGCCATGGAATTGAAGTTTCTGGTGTAAGAACAGGCGTTAGCGTTTTGAAACATGGAGCTGTGGCCAGAATTGTGTTAATGAAGAACAACTTGGAGTCATCAAGGCTGAAAACGAAATTTATAGAAGAACTAAAAGGTTTGAAGTTCTCACTATGGTACATCCATTGGCTTTCCGTGTTCTTTCAGCAAACAGTAATGGCTTTGTGCATGGGGACCATTGATGGACACAACAGCTTTGATCTAAATTTTCAGTATTAAAAGAAAAAATTGTTTGTGGAAAGAACCTGTGGATATCTAGTAGACAACAAGTCCACAATGGTCGCTCCAAAAGAAACTCCTTGGATTCCCAGCATATTAGTAGTGTATGGAAGACCAAGTACGAATTCAATTGGTTTCTGAAAGAGTTACTATGATATTTTGAAAGTTAACCTGAACACTCACCAAGAAATATTCAACATCGACATCTTCCATCTTATATGGAAGATCTTTGAATTGGAAGAAGGCAACACAAATTACAACGAATCCTTCTGATGCCAACATTGCTCCTTTATGTTCATGAAGACCACCTCCAGTTCCAGAAATATCCATAACACATGGGAATGGTCCATCTCCTGGAGGCTTGAAAAGTGTCCCGCAGAATCCGTCGTGTTCAATTTCAGTGCGTGTCAATAATGGATGCATCCAATGTTTCTTTATATACATCTCATCTAGCTTAGTTCCACTCTCATCAGACAGTCTGAAATGAAAATATGAGAGCATTAAAATATGGAAAACAATTAAAATTACATCAAAAGATAAAAAAATGGAATTGGAGGTGTGCAGCGGAGATATCCACCATATGCGAAATCCTCACATGGGGTCATCGAAAGGAACAATCCCATTCCATCGGCCTCTGAAACTTTTTTATTAGGTCCCATACACTTATGACGGTTATTTTGATCCTTTTGTGTGTTCAAATCTACATTAAACTTTTGAACCTGTCATTTTCCATCGTCCAAACTGTTCCTCTTTCCACTCCAAAGTTCACAATCTAATTTTTCCAAATGCTACGCATTTGGCAACAATGTATCTTGTTTCTATTGATAAGGGAATTGATTCATGACACTTCCAAATGAATGATGGGGTTCGAAGTGCACCGGAATAGAGTGGAATTCTCGGAGAACAGTTCTGAGATTGATTCCCGAAAATTTCGGGCCGAAACTTTTACTGCAATTTTTCCCCTGGACTCAAACTATCAAAATCAAAAGCAATTATCAGTGGTGCGCATTTTTTTTTCATAGAGAACACTTATTAAAAAACTGTCGTTTGCATTTGATGATCCAATCAAAATCTAACTGATAAGATACCAGCAAAAAGAGTTCGATTCGTAAAAAAGGAAATAAAAACATATTGATAACGATGGTGATTATTGTTGTACCCACAAGAATGTTTTTGTGGGTAATCTGATTTATGAATGTGTTTTGAGTTTAAAAATGAGAAACAGAGAATCCTACTTTGCGTTCTGATCAGAGATCGGTGGAAATCATATGTGGCGCCTAATTACCCGGACTCAAGTTTGAATTAGTATAAAATTTGAGTGAAGCATTATACTAGGCTCAAAAATGAAGAGCAAAAATTCATATATTTCATCAGTAAACTGGCTAAGTTTCAAGTTGTTTGATCAACTTTGAGCTAAGTTAACGCTTGTCAAAGTCGCGGTGCCAAGATACTTATGTCGGAAGATATACCCGTATTTATCCGTCCAGGTAATTGTGCGATTCTATGCATTAGACATTCTTTCAGAAATAAAAAAGGAGAAAATGGAGTTAGGTTTTGGAATAAAACAGTCAACAAAAAGGAAAACAAAAAACCCAGATCTTGACCTATTACCTAGTTTCATCAGGCCCAGCATCCTTACCGAAATAAGTTCCTCTCAATGGTTTCGCTGTTTTCATATCGATATTTCCATTTTCATCAGCTTTCAAGACACAATACGACGCATGTGATCCATAATTGTGGCGAAGTCTAAACCATATGATTTGGTTTTTAATCCAAAAAAACGAGTTACTGCATATCAAATCGATAAGTTCCTCCAGGTCTCAAACCATTTGCAGTGATATGAACATGCTCTGGTTGGAGAGAATCAGCTTTGTCAATGTTCAAATGTTTCATTATTCTGGAGAATAGTCTTTTTTTTTTGAAAGATGAGATGCTAAAAAGGGAATGAAAACTGAAACAAGCGGGAAAGATTTACTGCTCGCAGACTGAAAATGAAACCAACAAAACTGATAAGAAAAGCAAATCATAAGGGCGGATTAACAACGACCGAAAAGAATTTTTGGTGCAGCTATTTCAGAGTTTTTGACGAGGAAACAGTTTTGCTCGATGTGCCGCCTCCATAATGCTTATCATTCATCACTCTTTTTTTGTATAAATCAACGGAACTGATAAGAGAAACAAAAACGGTGGTTCAAACAGGAAAATGTGATGTTGCTTGTGATGGGGAGCGTTAGACTCCGGTTTCAAAAATGGAAAAGAAAAGAAATTTGGACTTTGTGACAATTGAAAGAGGGAGGAGCAGTAAGGACAAGGTTTAGTTTGATGGTTTTCACCGAAACTGCCTTTCCTTCATTTTAAATTTTTTGAACGGATCTGACTCGGGATCCAAGCTCAGGATCCAAGGGTACATCGAGTTTTAAGGGTAAGTTGGTTCCAAAAGTACGTTGAAAATTTATGGTACATGATGGATGATGAACAAAAAACCTTAAACTTTATTTCGCTTTTTTTGCTAAATATTCTATGTTTAGGCTAAAACGCCCTACCCCCCCCCCCCCAATCTCATGTATCAATGTACCTTCGATGTACCTTCGTATGGTGTTCAGAGGGTATATAAGATCTTCCGTCTTTTTTTATTTCTAGTTCTTTGGAGTGCTGATATGTCAACATAGATGTCAGGATTTCCGATTTCCGACGTTACGGCATTTTCTTCCTTAAGACTTTCAACTTCTATCTTCCAGAAAGCAAAATTTGCTTCCGACTTCCCAATTTTGAAATTTCACTTTCTGAAATCCCTGCCTGACAAGCTTTTTCACGACTTTCTTAATTTTAAAAAAATCAACCTGATCAGATATTTTTCTTCTAGACAGCATGTCCCATAGACGGTTTAAAATTAATAGTTCATTTTAAACTGAAGTAATGTTAAATTTTATCAATCGGAATGAAATAAAAAACATCGAATTGTTGGATTTACCGGTGACGAGGGCCACAAACATTTGAGATTCAAAGGGGAGAATTTCGATGAGATTCTTAAGAGGTTTCTGGAAGATCTTAGAAATAGATGAGAGATCGGAGTTTGGAGAGATCAATTCAGAAAAACAGAAAACTATAATTCACATTATGGTACATTTTGATGGAATTCTTGGATTACAGCAATTGAAACGATGAAGTTTTGCACACCAGGAAGTATTTGTGTTTGGTGCTCCAGGAATTGGAGGAAGAAGATCAAGATCATCGGAGAGAGAATCATCATTATCCAAGTCGAAAGAGTCACGAAGGCGACATCTTTCTTTAGATTCTACTGTTGAAGAGTCTGAAAATTGTAGTCCGATTATCTTAATAAGAAAAGTTGATCTCACTTTTGCTAGATTGTCTAATATTCTGTCCTTTGTCATCTTCTTGTGGTGGAGTCTTCTCGTCTTCTTCATCGCTATCCAGATTGCATTCCACTAAGCGACTCTTTTCTTCTTCTTCTTTCGTTACTGGTATTCTGAAAATTTTAGAGCATTTTTTAATTTTACATCATCTTGCAATGACTTTTTTTCACAATTTTCTTGGCTCGGGTTCTCACAATCAGTAATTTTTTCCTATCTTTTCAAGTAAATTTCTAGGAGGATTTTTTAAAATATTTGTAAAATTCTATGAAGTTAAAAGTTTGAGAAGAGCGGAGTGTCGTTAGAAAATTTTTTGCAAATAAATCTCGTAAAAAGTACTGAAATGTCCGAATTTTTATCAAAAGCCAAAAACCGGACAAACCAAACCGGGTCGAGGTTTTTCAAATACCGTAAAACCAGTATAGAAGGGCACCCCACGCTGTCAAATTTGAGCTTATTTATCTTGGCTCCTATGCAAAATATCAATAATATGTCAACTGACACAACTCTTCTGATATTATGATAAACAATTTATCAGTTTACAACTTTTATATCTCTAGCGGGAACCGAGAATAACTGACTAAAAGTAGAAAGTTAGAGGGCCCTTCTATTACAGGTTTTTCGGTGTGTTTTGTATCTGTTGTGATATGCATACCTATTGGGTTTTAACTCTTCAGTCTCCTCGTCAACCTCAACGTCATCTAAAGTGAAGACGTCAGACTCGTTGGCTAAAACACGTGGCATTCCAGATGACCTGATTTGATACTTTGCATAACCACGAGTCGACGTGCTTGGCACGTTCATTTGACACAGATATACTGAAAAATTGGTTAAAGAGTAACGGTCAAGAATTAGACAAAGAGGTTAGGAAATATAACAATGGGGTTAATAACCAGATAAAAGAAAAGTATTAACTGGACTTTAGATTTTTTTAAAAACAAATTTATAACGAAAAATATAAAAAATGTATCAAATAGGACACTTTTAGAACAAGCTATTATCCCAAATTCAGCAGAAGAATCACTTAGGAAGAGTAAAATGTTTCTTGAGTGGTTGCCAGTCCTTGTAGTAATCTTTGTCCACATTTTGAGTAATTGCCCAGTTGGTGATGGCCATGTTAAGAGAACTTTCAAACATGAACGACTGGAAAACACGGAATCAGAAAAACAGTTACAAAAAATGCTCTCACCATTGTTCCTTCAGCAACCCTTTGTGGTTTCAAATCCACATTCGATGCCATTTCGAAACAATTGAAATCGGGTCCATGAGGAGTCATCATGGAGTGAAGTGATCCACCTCCTGGCTTGAATCCTCCTTCTTTAGCTTCATAACATCCGGTGATTAATCCCATGTACTCAGACATACAATTTCCTGAAATGAAAACTATAGAAGAGTGGAAAAAGCACATGAAGCTTACGGTGATAGTATGGTGGTCTGAATGTGTTATCAGCACATCCCCATCTTGGTGGGAAGATCACAAAATCAGCAATAGCAGTTCCGTGCTTGACAGATGGAGCAGTGAGAACTGTGAAGATCGAGGGATCCTAAAAGTATGTTATTCAAAACTGACAAGTTCAAATCCATACTTACGCAGTGATCAAAAGAGACAGTGTTGATAACCATAAATTTACGAAGATCGTACTTGTATGGACAATAGTTTCCATGCCATCCAACAACATCAAATGGTGAATGTCCCTATAATTATCAATTATTCTCCTATCCATAATTCCAAGATTCTTACTTGTTTAGCCTGGAACCATGCCCCTTGATATTTGTTGATGACGGTGTATTCCACGTCAAGATCTTCAAACCAAGCTTCTGGAGTTTCAAAATCTCTTGGATTGGCGAGACCGTTAGCTCCAATCGGTCCAAGATCAGGGAGTTGGAAATGGGTACCGTACACTTCAAGAATATATCCGCGAGAAGGTCCACGGACACCCACAGAGAACCGGATTCCTGGAAAAGTTTGACTTAAAATCAGGGATTTCTAGGACAATGATAACCTTGTGGAATGATAATAATCTCTTGTGGATTCACCAGAAGACGTCCGAATTCCGTGGTAATTTCCAGCGAACCTTGTTGTGGGACTTAAAAAACCAACTGTCTCGACATTTATTGTAATCAATCAAAAATTACCGATCAAAAAGTCGCCATCAGAATTGTACATTGCAGTATGCTCCATACTAGCATTGCACGAGAACTGATGAATCGCCAATCCAGTACGTCCGATGACATCTCCTCCACCACAAACAGTGTACAAATTTTCCACAAAGGTCACACCTTCTTTGGTTGGAAGAGGAAATGGATTCCAACGGTATTGATTAGGGTTCGGAGGGATTGAAGAGAAATCGTTAGTCCAATTCTGTCCATTATCCTTGATTGCTTCGAATGGACGGTGGATTACAGAAGGACGAATACGATAGAGCCACGAGCGCTGGTTTTGACATCGAGGAGCTGTGAATGCAGTTCCACTCAGCTGTTCAGCATAAAGGCCATGAGCGCATTTCTGAAAATGAATAAGAGGGGGAGTTCAAACCACTTTGAAAGAATACTTACTTGCGGGGAGTTCTGTCCCACAGGAAGCGCGTCTGGCACTCTTGGGTCAGCTGACGCATGCTCGTTTCCAAAGCCGGTTAGGTACTTTAGCTGAAAAAAAGGATCAATAAATAAATGAGAAAATCTCTGAAGCGTAGCAAATAGAATAAGAGGAAAAAGCTCTAGTGGCTCTTTTTTTTTCTTTCTTGAGTGATTAGTCATCCTGGAGAGACAGACGAGAGAAGTGGCAAATTGTTTCTTTTTTCATTTGCAGTTTGACTTTTCAATAGACCTATACTTTCAACCTAAACCAATCTATGTAGAAATACTTGAGTCGTAAATTCAAAGAGCATTTCAAAAAGGAAGTGCATTGCCGTGTTTAGGTTTCGTTTGAGTTCAAAAAGGACTTTTTGAAGTGAAAAGGAAGGAAACGAACGTTTAGAAAAAGAAGAAGATAATATAGGGTTAGAGAGCCTATTTTTTCTTCGGTTTTCCATTCCAGATGAAACTGCCAAACACGGTGTAGAGCGAAAAATTCAGATGGAGAAGCAGAAGAAGGAGCAAAAAAGAAAGAAAACTAGTAAAAAGAAAGAAAATGGGCGACAGAGGGACAAAACAAGTCTCCAGAGAATTGGGAGAACACCACTCAGCCGTGGGCAAATTTCCATAAAGTTAGAAGGATTGGACTGAGTTTTGACGTAGAGAGATGGAGAGAAAGAGAGAGAGAGAGAGAGAGAGAGAGAGAGAGAGAGAGAGAGAGAGAGAGAGAGAGAGAGATGGAGAGAAAGAGAGAGAGAGAGAGAGAGAGAGAGAGAGAGAGAGAGAGAGAGCTGGAGAGACTGGCGAGACTGGCGAGACTGGAAAAGAAATATGAAATTATGAGAAGAGAGGAGAATAAACGAAAGACGAGAGATTTGAGAATTAGAAGTTTCCGTGGGAATTTCGTTGATATTTGGAGATAATGGAACAGACGGTCGAAATTTTGGTTGTGTCAGATTTCATGAAAATATGTTCTAACATAATTATGTTTTAACAGAATGGCCGGCCGATAACTCGCTTCAAAATGGAAATTTTAAGCAAAGCAACATACCAGATGATAGAGCTCAAAGAGCTCAACAACCTCCAATAAAAATCGACCGGCTTCGAAATCTGTATTAAGTCCGGGCCGACTATTTTTGCTCCGCCCGGCTATTTAATGTTGACTTGCACTCGGTTACTGATTTAGCTGGTAGATTCTTATTTGAGGATGTAGAGCTTGACTTAATATGTTCTTTTGCTCATAAGTTCCATTTTGCTGTATTCATACGACCAACGGATAAAATGTTATAAATAATTGAAGGCATATCTAGAATATAAGCAAAATTCGATGGAAAAGACGAGAAGAGAGATATAAAACGTCGCAATTTTTTTGAGGAACATAAATTTGACATCGGGTTCCTATTTCTTCACTTTTGGGTGACGAAACGACGGTTGACGACGAAAGATACCAAATTGAATTGAATGGAATGTGGAAAGAGAGGGTAAATTGCAAGCACTCGGGGAATGGGACACAACAGAAAAGGAAGGAGAAGAAGAAGAAGATGTCCCTAAAAAAAGGACCACACATTCACATACAATTTGTGCATAATTTGACGAAAAAGGAAGGCCGACGAAGAAAAGAAGCAAGGAAGAAGGGGGAGAGCATTCAGAAAGAAAAGGGGCAAACGGATTTGTAAATGTAAATGTGTATGTGCAACAAATGGGTGGAAAATGGACCGAAGAAGATGAATGACTATAAAGAAAAAATGAATGAAAAAGAAATATAGATTTTAGGGAGTAGGGCTGTGAGGGTCAAAACAAAAAATATATGTATTCATCATTTTAGGGGGCGAGCAAAGGAGTAAGCTCTCATGGGAAAAGGTGGAGAAATTTGAAATGAGGAATTCAAGAATTCTCTGAAAAATAAATACGTTCAAGTATGATATAATACCATGGGTTAATACTAAAAATTGAAAAGTTTTCAAAGGGGAACTCTACCCAAAATTTCGTATTTCATGTAGATGTTTTAAAAGTTATGCATTTTCCTAATATTATTACGAAAACCTTGTCAAAAAATCCGAAATCCAGGAAGAAGGCACTTGAAAAATTTGTTTAGTTTCCAGGTACTTTCCACCCTTCTAAACCAAAAAAATCCTAAATTTCCAAATCGAAACATCACAAAACATTGTGGAACTTTAAAAGTTGTTTGTATAGACTTTGCTCCGAAAAGTAGTTTCACTAGATGAAAATATTAGTATTAGAAAAAGAAAAGTGGAGTCGAATTTCTCATTTTTCAGAGAGACTTTGACTGCATTGGAGAAACGGAGAGAATTCGATTCGAATTACATATTCCCCTTCTACGGAATTTCACTTCTTAAGGAGAAACTAAACATGAGAGAGAAAAAAGGAAATCAAAGAAAGACAGCTGATATTTCAGAAAGTTTGATTTTTTCGAAAGACGAGTAGTCCTTTAGAAATGCGCTAAGAACACTTGTAAACCTTTGTGGGGGAATGCTTGGAAAAGAAACAAGCTCGCGTTTTTTTGAGCATGAAGAAACGATGATGACGTCATCAGAAGAGCACAACGAAAAGGGCAAAAAAAGGGAAAAATTGTTTAAAAAAAGAAAGAAAGGAAGTGCAAAGTTGTAAAGAAGAAAATATATTCTGAGATAATTTATATCTGAAACGAATAGTAGTGAAAAAAGGTGTCAGTTGCAGTGATATAAGCTACAAATTTTAGTTCAAAGTTTTCTGAGATCCTCATTTATTGGTTTTATTAAATTTTTTGGATCGGTTTTCAGTTTTCCAGTTTTCGGGCCATTCTCCCATCGTATACGAAAATGAAAGATTGCACACAGACTGAGTCAAAAAATGGAGAAGATGGCTGATAAGAGGAAGTAATATTTAGCCAAGAAGACTTGAGAAACGATGTCGTCGTATAAGATGTATGAATTCCTGAGAAGATTTTGAGTTGCAAAATAAGAACCTGTACACCTACAGGTACAGAAAAATTAAAGATAACTTCTCAGTTATTTTTCATTGTATTTCAAACAATTTTTTGGTTATGCTGAAAATGGATTAATTCTTCAAAGTAGTCAATCGGTTCACTTGTCAGTCTTATCAGAAATCCCTACAATTTTATTAAGGTTTTCAAAGGGCTCACCTCATCAAACTCCGACATCTTCGATGTTCTTTTCGAGGAGAAGTCAAACTAAGATTGACCACAAATCGACTGAATACGGTTGTTTGTAGGTGTTGCGTGCCGAATAGAATCTTATCTTTTTGTACAGTCTGGGTCTCTTTATCGTTAATTACTATCTATTCGATCAACTGCGTCTCTGCCCATTCAGATGACCGTTTCAACGAAATCGTCATGCTCGTCGACCTGATAATAGTCACGTGTTTTGTTCCCTGTCGAGGAAAAAAGAAAATAAATTGACATGATAAAAAAAGCTATCAGTGTTTGTTGCAAGGGTACAAACAAAATTACTGAATGTAACGTTTTTGGCAATTACAGGGACCTGATTTGGAAAAGTTATCAACGAGTTCATTTTTTAGGAAATTGGTTTTCGTTTGTAAAAAGGAATAACGTCCAAAACTTGACGAATTGAAACAGCAATCATGCAACTTTAAGTGTCGGAATAAATGTATTGAATTAGGTTTTAATTTTCAAAGACGATGTTATTTGACAATCTTTTGTTTAAAAGATCATTCAAATAAGATATTGTGAAGTCTCTAATAGAGGGGCCAAAATACTGTCAAGTTTGAGCTCAATTATCTCAATTCCCATGCAAGATATCAAAAATGTATCAACTGATAAAATGTTTGTGATGTGATAAGCAATTCATCGGTTGACAACTTCTTTACATCTTTGACAGAAACCGAGAAAAATGGCTCAAAGTAAAAAGTTACGGGCCATTCTATTACATGTTTTACCGTACGCTGATTGGAAGTGTCGCGACTCAGAACTCACAACGAAGTTTAGAAATCACTAGAGACCAGATATTTTTACAGAAATATCAGAGATAGTCACCTTTTTTTCAGACACCCCAAAGCTATTTTCAATTGAAAAAAGGTAACATTTTATATTTTCAGTATGTGTTCCGGATTCAAGAAGAAACACAAACTCAAATTCAAATTTGCTTTACTTTTTTCAGAGGGAAGCTACTATACTTCAGGGTTGGAAATAGAGAAGGGGAACTTGAAGACATGTTTGGGAAAATTTTTCTGGAAGATTGTCAACGGACGAGGCAGATACCGTAACCGGAAAAATACCTTTTCAAATTTCACGTGAACCCTAGTACAGCGTGGATTAGGACCTAATGCAACTTGATCCCACGCTGGATTCCTTCTCCTATATTTTATTACTTTTGATCTAAAGCAACGCGGTTAACTTTGACTGTTTTTTTCTATCTGTAAAATTATTTTTCAGCTGAAAATCTTAAAGTGCGATTTGAAGAAAAAGAGCAATGGCGGAGATCTCGGAAAGATATGTGGAACAGTTTGTGACAACAATTGAGACGATGCGTCGTCGTGTTATTGCTTACTACGATGGAATCTTTTATTTGGGTGATATCAAAAATTGAATTTAAAAATTGTGATATTCTCCATCATAGGACGAAAAATTGAGAAAGCCGCAGAACGCCTGAAGGAAGTTGCCACACCGGCATCCTATGATGCTCGGGATTACGTCAATCTTTCGTTGGCTGAAAATGGACCATTGGAGACGATCGAAACAGAAACAAAAAATAATTTGGTTGAGATGTATCTCGGAATTTCGGTGAATGGAAAAACTCATTAATCACAGAGTCAGAGAATTATCAATTTTTCAGGTAATCCTGATTGGTTTGGCTGGAGGGCAACTTTCTGGAGCATATGCGCTTGCTCCTCTCATCCAATACTGCTTTGATTCCTTCATTGTCTTTCTGATTCTCACTGCTCTCCCAGTTTTTGTCTTCTACAATGTTCGCAAGAATTCAAGTCTGGACGACACTGAAAGGCGTAGCATTTTGATCTCAGCCACTCTTGTTTTTGGAATCTTCTCTGGATATCTCGTTGGTCCACGAATTCTATCTCTGGCGCCAACAACTCTCTTCCTTCCACCATTCCTATTCGCTCTGATGTTTGATAATGGGACAGTTCCAACACCACTTCCATCACTCAATCGTCAAAGCTTTTTCATTTCATTTGCTTCAATCAGTGTTTTCGTTGCCACTTCTCTTGGTAATTTCTATCATATTATTTCGTTACCATTTTTTATTTTTTTCAGCTTCCATCGTTTTGGGCAACTTCTCGACATCAGTTTCCCTGTTCAACATTATTCATGCAAGTGGTCTCTACCTTCACTTCCAGGTTCACAAAACCTATTGAGGAAAATCATAGCTTGAGATTTCAGGTGATTCTTCAACTCATCAAAGACAAATATTTCATGGTTGGAGAGAGTCAAACTGTGTACATTGGAACGGTTATCCTTCTGCAGGTTAGATAATCTATATCTACCACATCAATTCTTTAATATTCAGTTAATCTTCACTCTTCTATTTGGATACAATACGGACGTCTCTCAGAATGTGCATAAGTAAAACGATGACTTCAAGTGATTCCTCGCTTTAATAAAGTCTTTGTTTCCATTTTTCAATTTTTTTTCTGTTCTTGCTCATGGCACTTGGGTTCAAGCCAACTGGTCAGAAATCGCGCCCAGTAAACGTGAGATTTTAGAAAAAATTCGTTGCTAAATTATGTGGCTGAGGATCAAACTTTTAAACGTTGCACGAAAAAATCACGCGTTGCAACTCGTTGATTAAAACTAATTAGGTCAAAGCCACGTCAACTTGGAAATTATTAAATTTCTTCTGGCTTAAAATTTATTTGGGGCGCGTTTTTTGACCCGTTGGCTTGAACCCAAGTGTCATGGTACTATTTTTATGAAAAGTAAGAATTCTGGGGCCGTATTCATGAAATTTACTTTTGTAAATCATTTACTCTCAAAAAATCAACTGAATCATTTACCAAAAGGTAAATGGAAGCGTGAAAATGTACTGAAAATCTTTTTCTCATTTGTAAATGTAGTTCCTGTTTTTTAAATAGGAAAACGACTTTGAACTAGAATTTCTCAACTACTTTAAACGGAAAAATGTTCATTTTTTGACACATTACTTTAAATTGAATGCTCTATCCATTCATGTCATTTGTATCAAAAGTCATAACTTTAGAGTTGAACCGAAACGAAATATGTGTTTAAAGTTAGATAGTATCGATGTTACAATACTATTCTTTCCATACAAAACTTCTTTTGGATGAAAAGTTTCAAGAAGTGGTTGACAACAGCAAACGAAATTAATACGCCTATTTATCAAAAAGAGGGGTATTTACCAAAAAGTAAATGATTTCTCTTAAATTTTTACGTTTTTCTGTTGATTTTTTGAGAGTAAATGATTTACAAAAGTAAATGATCATGAATACGGCCCCTGGTTTTTTAGTCTTCATCTCCTCGAGTTGAGTTATTAATTCTAGTGACCAGAGATGTCCGGATTCCGAATTCCAGATTCCGGGAAAATTAGTCTATTAGGTTGGCGGGAAAGTCTTTGTCACTCTGTTTGTTAATCACTGTTCTCGTATATGGAGGCTGTGTATGATATCGACTCTAGTGAATAACAAGGTGATAAGAACCTTCCATATAAACAAGTCCCCATCTCCTTCCCTGCTCCTCATCTGTAATTGAAACGATATGTTTGTTCCCACTGCTATTCACATCAGACATGTTTTGATTTACCTCTTCCTATCTCACACCACGATGAAGGATTCGGAAACTTTCTTGAAGAATGTGTACAACACACATGCCCCTCACTACAATACTATTCGCAATTGGTTCCATCGTTTCGAAAAAGATGACTTCTCGCTCGATGAAAAGGATCGCTCTGGGTGACCCCGTGAGTTGGATTTGGACAAGCTGAAGCACGCATTGCAATCGGATCCATTTCAATCTAGCCGTGAACTAGCTGTCACATTCGGAGTTCACCATAGCACAGTCCTTGAAGGTTTGAAGTCTCTTGGAATGAGAAAACTTTTTGGTCGATTCATACCTCATCACCTGACTCAAGCCAACCTTGACCGCCGAGTCGACGATTCGATTACTCTTCTCACTCTCCACGCGGGCGATCGATGGCTGGACCGGCTAATAACCGGAGATGAGAAGTGGGTCTTCTACGATAATCACCACAGGAAATCCCAGTGGGTTGGAGAAGGAGAGAGCCCACAGGATGTCCCCAAACCCGACCTTCATCCGAAAAAAGTTATGCTCTCTGTGTGGTGGGGAGTGGACGGCCCCATCTACTGGGAACTTCTGCCCGAGGGCAAAACAATAACTGGAGACCTCTACACTACTCAACTACGAAACCTCAAGAAAGCAGTCGACCGTTCGGCCCTGAAAGACAAGAAAGTGTACTATCAACATGATAACGCTCGCCCACATGTTTCGAAACAAGTGAAGCAGGAGCTGATGGGATATGGATGGAATGTTCTCCCTCACCCCCCGTATTCTCCTGATCTTGCTCCTTCCGACTATTGGTTATTTGGCGATATGACACGTGCCTTCGAAGGAAGAAGCTTCAATTCCCGTGGAGCGGTCGAAGCGGCACTCAAACAATACTTTGCCTCACGCCCGGCTGGATTCTACCGCAATGGAATCCATAAATTGAGGGAACGTTGGAGACATGTTGTTGATAATGATGGACAATATAATTAATTATTCGGTTATTTTTTCTTTGAGAAATAAACTATTGAAAAAGTGACAAAGACTTTCCCGCCAACCTAATATTACGGATTCTGGATATCTCTGCTAATGACCTCGCAACATTCATTTCCAACACTGTTGCGTGAAATATACAAAATTTCACTGATATATTTCCACATATACTTTTTCAACCACCGTTTTGACTATTACCACAAAGATGTCCAAGGATACGGTGTCTTCGAAATCGAAATCTAGCTCAAAAAGCGATCGTGGAAGTGCATCAATTTTCTTTTTCAAATGGACAGCGAGCACTTTGGATGCCTACACCAAATCAATTAAAAACAACTACCTGAAAGTGTTGATTGCTCATTGTACACGTGCTCGTGAGGGAGATGAAGAAGCCAGCAAAAACTTTGACTATAGTGAATTGGGAGCCAATCCGAGAGTGGTGAAAGATGATCGTGAAGACATCAGGAGACGACTCAGAGATGCACAGAATCGTGTCTGGACAAATGAGGAGGCTAAACCGGAGACGGTAAAAAGTCGGAAAAATTGATGTAAATTAAAAACCCAATTTCAGCCGATTTCTCTAGCTGAGCTGTCAGCTGTCTATCGCTTGAAAACACTTACGAAAATGTGCGAGAAACTAGCTGAAATCATGGGAAGAATGGTAAAATGGTTCGAGAATAACAGAAAGGTTTTATCCTATTCTATGAAAAATGATTCACAAATCTTTCTTTTCAGGCTTTCAACAAAGTTGTCGGCATGACTCAAATATTAGAATACATTCTTAGAATGTTCGAATCGGCATGTGCAATGGGTGAAGTATTCCTTCTCACTTCAGTTAATTGGAAGACTTGCAAATTTGCAAAACATATGAATCCGAGTGCAAAGGAATATTCCCGTTCGGAAGATGAGAGACTTGAAATCACAGAAAAAGCAGAATCGTATTGTCCAAAGTTTCTGAGTCAGATAAATTATTACAGGTGTGCAGGATCAAGAGTCCTCGAGGGAAAGTATCCATAATTATACTTACAGAACCCTCGTATACACTCTTACTTGTTCATTTGAAGGAGTCTTGGAGACAATATTCATCACTGTCAACCAAGAAAGATGTGAAGTTCGACAGAAGTAAGAATATCTTCGTCATCTTAAAATTATGTGGAAGTTTCTAGAGAACTTACAATTGTTCTTCAAAAGCTGCCACCTCAATACCTTTTCACCAAAGACACTCTCGAATTCTCTCGTCGGACTGCAAATCTTTTGGCGAAACCACCGAAGAACACATTCTCATTTCCAACACCGCAGCAGGATATTTCAGAACAATCGAAAAGAGAATCAGAAAAAATTCTGGCGAACAGTAGGAAGTCGGCTAAAATATCTTCTTGTAAATACTATCATGGAAGAACGGGAGATGCGAAAAGTGGAAAAAGTGGAAAAAGTGACAAAAAAGAAACAAGTTTGAGATCTGAGCCGACTCAACCATCGGAGAAGAGTAAAAGTAAAAGCAAAAGCAAGAGCAAAAGCAAATCGAAGAAGTCAATTATCAAAAAGTGACACATATTTTCATGATATAGATAAATCTTAATTAATTCTTAATTAATTTCAGAGTTCTCAACAAAGGGAGCAATTCGAAAAGATCGGAAAAGGATTGATCGGCTACACTATTTACAAACAACTCAGTCAGATTTAACTTTTTTTAGTAAACTTGTTTATTTCCTGGGTTACTGTGATAATGATTTTTGGGAGCTGTGTGAGAATATAATAGGATTTTTGAATATTAGGAATTTCTGAAAATCCAAAAAACGACTAAAGAATTCCGGAAAAAATCGAAAACTTTAAAAAACCGAATTTTTAAAATCTGAACGTCGGAAAATGCTGAAAATCCCTGAAAATTCGGAAATTCAAGATATTCCAAAATTGAGGTCCTCTGAGTTTTTGAAAAAAAAAAACAACAACAATTAGAGAATAGCTAAAATTCTTAAATTCCAAAAAAACTTTCAGAATTACAAAAATCCTACTTTTTTAGAAATTCTGAGAATCCCAAATAAAAAAAAAAACAAAAATTCTGGATTCAAGAACATTCAAAAAATTGAAAGTCTGAAAAAAAATTAAAAATTTAGGAAACGAAGAGAATCCCTAGAAACCCAGGAATCTGAAAATCGAGAAAGTTCACACTTCAAAGATAAAAAATTCCCAAATTTGAAAAACCTAGAAATTTCAAGAATCCAAGAGTACAGTACAATTCGTTAAAATATGAATTCCTTCTAGTCACGTAGATTCAGACAAAATTCTCTACTAAAACACTTTTATTATTCACAGAACGATAATTGAAAATCCAATAAACAATGGGCCGTTCATCCGACTCTCCTTCTCCTACTGTTGCCCAGTCGATTAGTGGCTCGAGACCATCGCTCTTGAAATCGAAACCAATACATCTGGTATTTCATCAAAAACTTATTGTGACCAAAGAAATTCGTATTTTTTAAGAGAAAATCTCGTTCGAAACGGGCTGGCCTTACATTTTCGGTCAGTCGAGTGGACCGAAAACTCCACGAAGGCGCGAATGGGAATCGTATTTCATCTGGCGCTTCAGTTTACTTGGCTGCTGTTCTCGAATACTTAACATCTGAAATCGTGGGCATCAGTGGAATTGAATCGAAGAAGAAGAACAAAAAAAGAGTTACTCCCCGTCACATTACGCTCGCCATCAAAATGGACAACGACTTCAATTCATTGTTCAAGGACATCACTATAGCTCAAGGAGGAGTTTTGCCAAAACCAAAGGAAGAGATCCAGTCGAATTCGAATCAAAATTAACTTGAATTTAATTCATGTGAATAAATAAACGATGATTTCTATTTTCATATTATTTTATCAAAGTTAATCAACAACAACAACATAGGAAAATATAACAAAAAACAATGGAATAGTTAGAACAAGGAAAGAAAATAATAGACCGGAAAAGACAAAAAAATACGATTCTCAAAATCCAGAAAACCAGCCGACTAAATAAAAAGTGTATAAAAATCGGTTTTCTCTTAATTTTCATGAATGGAAACGCTTCTTATATCTTTTTCAAAAATTTTTTTTGATATATCTTTTCGTGTCAGTTTCCACTTTGAACATCAAATTTTTTGAACTGAAAAGTGATATCTCCTGATGACTTATCAAATAATGCATTCAAGTTGATAGAACTTTCGTTCTGTAGATTGGTGATTGGAAAATAAACTCCTTGCTTGTAACCCTTGTTCCAGCAAGGTTTTCGGGATTCGGAAGTTGACAAGAGTCCTGTAGATAGAGTCAGATCTCCGAATTGCCATTCCATCCATATCGGAATTCCGTTAGAAGACCTTCAATTACTATTTAGATTAACGATTAATAATGTTGAACCTACTGCATGTTGTCCATTTTCCCTACACATTTTCGACTGAGGATTCGCCCGTCGACTGGAAAAGTCAGCAATTCAACGGGTTCCCCTTTCACAGTGCCAGCATATTCCCATAACGACTGTTCGTCTACAATTGCATCTGTGGCAGCTCTGGCTTTCGTTGATATTCTGTCGAAATATGAAAGATCAAAGCCATTGACTGTATTCACGTCAGCTGCAATTTTATGAAGATCTTCGAAACATTCTGGAATAGCTTTTAGTGTTCCAAGCTGAAAAATTTAATTATTATTTGAAGCACACATTATTCTTACATGTGGTTCAACTTTCAAATCATCTCCATGAAGCATTTTGAGAATTTCGACATCGTATAAAAACCTGAGATGATTCCACGGATTCATAGCTGACATATAGAATGGTTCAGCAATAACGATGTCTGGCTTTTCAATCAGATGCGTCACCTTTTCAACTATGTGGACATTCTTCATATTATAATAAAGAACGTATTTATGGAAGATGTCTCGGAATCTTTCGTTCGGTTCAATAATTGTGACCGTTTTAGCAGTCTTCGCTGCCAAAAGACCAACGAATGATCCTTCACCAACAGTCACCACATTGAGCCCAGAGGACAACTGAAATTTCGATAATGAATGATTTCTAATGGTTAATAAAATGATATACTCTATCAACTTCTGCACGGAAGCTCTGATCCTCAAACATTTCGTTGATGTGATAAACAGTTTGTCGGCTTAGCATCGAGTGCAAACCACAGACGCAATAGCTTCTAGTGGAGCTTAAAAACGCAAAGTTAACAAGTTCAAAAGAATTAGCTTACTCTTTTCCGACGTCACTGAACCAAATACTGAACTCGTCGTGATTACAAATGATTTCAAACTTTTGTGCCTTCTCAACACACTTTTTGTCTGGAAGATAATATACTGCTTGCATCCAATGATCTCGCCACTGAAGATATAAACTATAGATGGGACATTTCATTATGAGACACCTACTGCATAATGTTTTGGATTCTTCCACCTCGGTGCCATATCGATAAAAGTTTCTCCTTTTCCATCCATATCAATATCCCACCACATCATGATTGCATCAATTGTACCTGATGTGTGAGCAATCGCTTCTCGAACAAACGATTCGTTATAAATAATTTTCTCTTCGTTTTCAAAGTCAAACCTGATAATTTTAGATAAACAGATAGAAGATTTTAAACCTACTTGAAAGCAACGATTGGCTCCGCGAGCTCTCGAAACTCGTGAGTCTCAAGTTCTGATAATTGAACGTCGAAAACCGAAGCAGTTCCTGAGCAAGTACCAAGCGGATGTTCATCTGAAGAATACTGTCATTCCTTCACATTCATCGTTCACTACCTTCTCCGCCATTTATTCGAGGAATTGTGTTAAACATTTTTAAAAGATGACTTTCAACCGGAACAATATATACATTTCCACTGGAAGGAACCACTCGGCATCCTGGTTTTGCCAATCTTTGGAGAGCTTCTTTGAATGTTCGTAATGCTCCTTCTCCAATGAGCTCTGTGTCGAATACTTCTGCAACAATGATATCCGCGGCTGTTCCTCCGATTTGTGATACGTCCGTCGATCTTTCAGAGATTACTGTAATTTTCTCTGCCCAAGGACTACACCCAGTGATATGCCTGGCACAATCTCCCATTGGTTTGAATACTTCTAAAGCCGTCACTTTGTCCGCACCTTCACGAGCAGCCATAAGAGACAAAAGGCCTGTTCCAGTACCTGGAAAAGTTATGTTGGCTTCAAAACTGAACTATTGTCATCTAACCAATGTCAAGAACATGCACCAGTCCATCACCATTCTCTTTTTTCTTCTCAGGAATTGTTGTTTTCAGTCCTTCAAGAAACTTATCATTTCTATCAAAGTCTAGAATCATATCACCGAATCGGCTTCTGAAAGTAATAATATCCTTTTGCTGGATTTAGCATTTCATCAATCGAACCTTGCCAGCTCTTGTGCCATGTCATAGTCTTCTTGGGCAACTACCCATTCTCGTTCTCCAGTTTTCTGATTTACCCTTTCCAGGAACATTTGCTGGAAAATTGTTCAAAATTTCTGCAGTGTGCCAGTTTTTTTGTATTCCGAAAATAGGTAGAAGCTGCTCTTCTTCAAGATATTCGATGATGCGATGCAGACTATCAAAGAGATGTGTCATACAGAGAATTCACACGGTAATCAATGTTTATTTTGGCTGGTAATTTTTTGTTTTTCAGAGACCCAAAATGTTCTCAGAACGGACAAAAAACAAATCTTGCATGCAATATAATAAATCAAAAGGATTTTCAAAATATGAATGTACACACAGGAAAAATAAATAAATAAAACGGGTCAAAGGATGGGAATCAGTGGGAAAGGGATGATGGGTGACAAAGTACACAATTTAAAATATACCGCATATTTTGGAAGAAACGAAGTGTAGTAGAGAAGAAAAGTTGTTTTGGCACTATGGTTTAATTCAAGCGGTACGAATTTTTCCGGGGACATAGTTTTTATCGATGGTCGTCTCTTGGAGGAAGATGTGCAGAGAACGTTCGTTTTGAGCTAGCGGATGTCCAGCGACTCTGAAGATTATGAGTTTATTTTCAGTTAAAAGTTGATAACACTTACTTGTTTATGAACAACTCAAGCGCTTTGCGACGATTCTCAATGAATTCCTCTTCGTAAATCCCATCATCAGATCGGAATGGAAGTTGTCGCTTGAGAGACTTTCCGGGCAGCGTTGGAACAACGATTTTGCTGTCTCTCTCCAATTCTGCACGAACCCATTCGAAATCACTGTACCGACGACGAACACTCGATTCTTTTTGTTTGAAGACAGGCAGGTTCGACTAAAGAATTTATTTGAATTAAGGACATGAAAAAGAAGAATGAAGCACTTACTCTCATTCTGATTTCGTAGTCAGTGTATCGCATTTTGCCGACGCCATGAGTGATTGGATTGATAACCTAAACATATATGTGATGAAGGTTTGAAACAACACAAATTATTCACCTCAATTTCGAGAAAATTGGCTGGAGGCGCGTAGGCTTCGTCGAGCGTTTGCCTCTTCGATGGAATTCTCTGTGTTGCCGATGCCATAGCTCACTGAAACACTAAATCTTTGCGAGTTGCATTAAAAATTGTTTATGTGCAATTCTGAGTATCGACTTTCATTCATTAAACAAATGGAGAATCAGTTTTGAAGATTTAAGGAGCAGGCAATATGTAGCGAGGAATCATGCGAATCACTGCATCTCGGTCAAAGCAGTTACAAAATATTTTCAAGCATATTCTAGAAAATCAATAAATTACAACAGATACAACCACGTCATAGTTAATGGCGGCATGATTCATCTTTCAGCGATAAACAAAGAGGCGAAAAAAATTTGTGGAAAAAGTACGCAGAGACACAAAGTGTGTCAGTGCACGACTGAAAAATGACCGTAGTTCCAGTTTAAATTCAACTTGAAACTTGCGGCGGAAATTCGAAATCGGGTCTCATGAATTGCAAAAAACAATTTCAACTGCTTGCGATTCATGCTTTTTCTGAAAATATTGCCTAGATTCTCAAATAGTCGTCTAATTTATTATCAACTGTTTTCAAAATTCCTTTAAAATGAAAAACAAATCTTTCAGTAATGCCATCAAAAACTTTCAATCCGGGAGACTTCGTTTGGGCAAAATTTCCAGGATTTCCTCCCTGGCCAGCAGAGGTACGTAATGCTTATATATTTCTTCATTCATTGAAATCGGTTAAGGTACTTCAATGTGAACTAAAACGAGGAAAACCGAACTACACAGTAAGGTACTTCGGCAGTAAAGAAGAAGGTGTTGTCAAATTCGATGAAGTCGATGATTATTATGAAAAAAGAAAAAGATTTGGAAAATCGAAACGAGTGAAAGGATTCGACCAAGCCGTAGAAGAAATTGAAGCAATAATAGAGGAAAAAGTTCTGAAAATGACTCAAGAGGGTGTTGATGAAGTTAGTCCTGTGCAGACTACATTAGCACCGGCCAAGACAGATCTCCCACCTACCTCTACGAGCTCCGGCAGCGATGACCAAATAATCGTTGAAGCACCTGAACCATACGCAATCACTACAGTAAAAGATGAAAAAGAGGTCGTTGAAGAATCAACATCTCTATGCTCTGGGTCGAGTCATTTACACCCTCATTCCATTGAAGATGATAACCAACATACTGAAGTTTCAAAGATTCCACGTTTCGAAAGCCCCATCGCAATCGAAAGAGCCAGGATACGACTAGACGATACCGATGACGAGGACTTTTTAAACTTGCTAGATGAAAACGATGAAACTGTATTGACAGAAAGCTCCGGAATCACAGAAGTTAAAACTGAAAAGACGACTTTGAAAAAAACAGAAGTTGTCGAATTGATCGTTGACGAAGAAGAACGTACCATACCAATCAAGAATTCCTCAAAAGAAATAGTCGTAATCGAAAATACCAAAGAAGCTGGTTCATCGGATGATTTTGTTTCTTCTACTAAACGGAAACGGGAAGAAAGTCCGAAAAACTTGTATGTTTTCCTTAATTTGAACCCATTCATGCACACATAGAAATGTATTTTCTGTGTTAAAAAAAGAATATCATGAATAACTTCAATAGTATTTTAAAGTATCATGTTTATTTCAGACCAACAACAAGTTCGGCTTCAGCTCCAGCACAAAAACGAAGAAGTTTGGGATATTCAGCAAAAGCAACAGAACCCAAGAACGTTAGTATTTTCAGTACTTGTTAATTTTTTAGAACTTTGATAATCTCAGATTCACAAATCATTTGTTTCTCCTTTCTCGACTTCTGTTTCTCCCACCAAACAAGGGCTTCGACGTAAAAAGAAGGCCCCTCCTGCCATCGAACCCCCGGTTTCTGTAGAAAAGCGAATCCGTTTCGATTTGTTAACATCAACGTATTTAATGAAAGAATGGCTTCTGAATCTTGTGATCATAATGCCATGGTTGCAAAGTTGCTATCTAGGAAATTTTCGATCCCAATGGAAGGATACATGCGTAAGATTGTTTTTTTTTTGAGAGAAACGCTTTCATCAATAATTTCAGTGTCTGGCCGTAGTCTTGGCCTTGGAGGGAATCGTCGTAAATGCGCACTTTTCGATCCTTATCATGAAGGTGCACTTATTCTGTATGCTCCGGAGCAATTAAGTGAGCATGCTCAGTTGAAAGAAGACAAAGACAGAAAGGTTAGTCTGATGAGATAATTCAAACGAAGATCTTGATATCACCTCACTAGACTTTTGTAGGTTCATGTTGTCGCCGACCCAGTTGTTGGAAAAATTTTGCGTCCTCATCAGCGAGACGGAGTGAAATTCATGTGGGACTGTGTGACTGGTGTGAACATTCCAGAATATCATGGATGCATCATGGCTGATGAAATGGGTCTCGGAAAGACGCTACAGTGTATTTCTCTTCTCTGGACTCTTCTCCGACAAAGTCCCGACGCGTGTCCAACGGTATCAAAAAGCATCATTGTATGTCCCAGTAGTTTGGTAAAAAATTGGGACAAAGAAATCAAAAAATGGTTAGGAACAAGATTGAACGCGATGCCAGTTGATAGTGGAAAACGAGAATTAATCATTCAATGTCTCAGTAAGCTTAGAAATGTATATAGAGATTTTTGAAAAAAAAAACTTTGTTTCAGATTCGTTCATGAGTGACTCCAAAATGCGATGCGCGATTCCAGTTCTTATTATTTCGTATGAAACATTCCGTCTGTATGCCAATATTCTTCATTCTGGCGAAGTAGGAATCGTTATTTGCGACGAGGTAAGCAGTTATTTTGTCTTTTCTATCCATAATTTGTTTACAGGGACATCGTTTGAAAAACAGCGAAAACTTAACCTACCAAGCTTTGAGCGGACTGAAATGTGCTCGAAGAGTCCTTATCTCAGGAACGCCTATTCAGAATGATTTACTTGAATACTTCAGGTAACATCCTTTCTCTTATTTCTTCTTGAAACGTCTGATTTTCAGTTTAGTCAATTTTGTCAACCCTGGATTACTCGGTACGGCCAGTGAGTTCAGGAAGAAGTTCGAGAATGCAATCCTAAAGTGAGTTTCCATTCCACTATTTCATTTCCACATTTCACACCTTCATTACAGAGGCCGCGATGCAGATGCGAGTGCAGAAGATCAAAAGAAAGGAGAAGAAAAGACAAAGGAAATGGTTTCCTTGGTGGAAAAGTGCATTATCAGAAGAACATCAGCACTCCTTACTAAATATCTTCCGGTCTGTTGAGTTTCCGTAGCATTTGTAGAAATCATCATATTTTACAGGTCAAATACGAGCATATCATTTGCTGTAAGAACTCTACCCTTCAGGAGACACTTTACAACAAACTGATCGAATGTGAAAAACAAAATAGAATCACTGAGAAGGATAAAGTAAAACTAGTTACCTGAATTACGAAATTCAGCTTATAAAACATTTCCAGGGTGCCACAGCTTCAGCGCTATCCTTCATCACACACCTCAAAAAGCTCTGCAATCATCCTTATCTTGTATACGAAGAGCTTCAGAAACCAGATAATCGATTCAGAACCAGTGAGACTATAAAAAAATGATGTCATTCTATCTAATGATTTTCTTCAGAGTGTCTATCTGTGTTCCCTGAAGCATTCAATCCAAAATCATTCGATCCATCCTTCTCTGGAAAAATGAAAGTGTTGGATTACATTTTGGCCGTCACTCGTAAAACGACTGATGACAAGTTCGTATTAGTCTCTAATTATACGCAGACGATTGACCAATTCATGGCGGTGAGTGCATCGAAATTTCGAGAGTTATCGGATTGTTCCTCTTACAGCTATGTAAACTCCGCGGCTATGATTTTGTACGTCTCGATGGATCGATGTCTATCAAACAGCGATCGAAGATTGTAGACACTTTCAACGACCCAGCAAGTACTATTTTCTGTTTTTTGCTCTCTTCAAAAGCGGGAGGATGCGGATTGAATCTGATTGGAGCCAATCGTCTTGTTATGTTTGATCCCGATTGGAATCCAGCAAATGACGATCAGGCAATGGCAAGAGTCTGGAGAGATGGACAAAAGAAGACTTGCTTCATCTACAGACTTCTCGCAACTGGATCAATCGAAGAGAAAATGTTCCAGAGACAAACACACAAGAAAGCACTGTCATCATGTGTTGTTGATGCCGGAGAGGATGTGGCCCGTCATTTCAGTAATGAGCAACTTCGTGAACTATTTAAGTTGGAGTCAGCATCTGCGTCGGACACTCATTCAAAGTAACGGTACTGTTTTCTATGTCTTAACCTTTATCTTTATTCAGATTAAAATGTAAGCGATGCATCCAAGGATTAGAAAGTGTTGATCCACCTGTGAATGCTGATTGTACAAGCGATCTCGCCAACTGGTTCCATTCGGAGAAAAGTGCTAGAAAGGTAACAATAAGTATACAACTGTAAATTGGAAGATTTTTATTTTTAGGTTGCTGACAACGTTCTTCGAGCTGTCTTTGAATGTGGCTCTATTTCATTCGTCTTTCACCAAAAATCCCATAACGTCGAAGCCAAAAAAGTTGAAGAAAAGATCGAGGAGCTCGACGAAGACTATGTGCCATCAGAAGCTGAGGATGATGATTAGATTCATCTGTTTAGTAGTTGTAGACCATTTCAATAGTAATTCTTATCTGTTTTCATGCCTGTTCGTTTTTATTGTTGTCTATTCATAGTTGTAATCACCACCCGCACGATCTCATGTTGTATATGATCTGAAAAATAAAAAGTAACCATTTTACATTTTAGGATCTTATTCGAATCCATAAACAATTTTAATTGCAGAGGAGGGGTACAATGGATGAATGACAAAAAAGACAAACATTGATACGATATACAACATTTCAGTATGAACTTTTTTCTGGAAAACAACATTATGCAAAAATGAAGATGACTCATTGTGAGAGGAAAAAAAATTATGCCTATTATTATTAGTTCTTTTTGAGAAAAAATAAGTTTTGTGTGGGGGTTTTCCGGGAGGCGCAAACAGGTATGAAATGAATAAAATATTGAGCTTTGATGATGTAAAACGGAAATGGGAACGGCAATTATATATCGACTTGTCTTGAAATCAGTCGATAAGTTTAGGACAATAAATATATCCGCTTTCGCTTTTTTTTTTGTAGTAAATTTTGGGAATATTTTGGTCAGAATCAGTTCAATTTTTACAGAACGAACTTATTTCAGGTGAGGTAATTTGCTATAAAAAATAAGATGGAATTAAGAAATACTCTGGAAATAGAAAAGAAAAACTACTAGGCGATTTCGTAACTAATTTGAAAAAAAAAGAAACACCAGCGATGGAGACAAGGGAAGATGACAGCCAAACAATTCCTGAACCTGAAACATTTCTTTCAATACATTTTAATAATAGAAAGTAAATTTCAGTTTAAAAAAGACGGGATAGCCAAACATTTGATTACAGTTCTCAAAGGGATTACTTCAAACACAGTAATCCCACAATAACCCTTTAAAAACTTTGCAATTTTAGGAAACCCTTCGTTCGGGAAAATATTAACTGAAACTCACCTAAAGATAGACGATTGGCGTGGAGAAAAATGAAGAAGCTATTAGACAGTGTGGGCGGAGCTTGTTGATTCGTTTTGATTTGAAATTAAATAGATCGACATTCAATATCATTCCGTTTTCTAAATGTCACGCGTAACTCGTTTTCAGTTTAGAACAAACACATTGTGGTCGGCATGATGTCGCTCGCCTCCTCCTCGGTGTTACTTGTAACTGAAAACGAGATCATTGAAATTTATAAAGTTCACATATATCTCTGGTGCAAACCTTGTCTAAGCAGGGTTGCTCGTTGGTTGAGTAATGTACAGTAATCAAGTTCTCAAGAGTGTCGAGGATCGTCTCCACTCGTTCCACTTGCTGTCGAGTTACAGATGGTTCCGTTGGGGCTGGAAACGTCTTCTCCAACTTGACACATCGCTTCATTTCAATCAAATATGCACCAACACATCCGATAAATAATGAACCATGACGAGCTATTTCAGCGTCTGAAATTGTAATCATAATCTAACATTTTCTCAAGGTTTTAAAATACTTTGTGGTCGCCAGATACTCATACGCTACGTTTTTCATTTGCTACAAACACTCTTTTGCTAACGGGAAAGTTTTCTATTGGATAAATTCTTTCGCCACCAATGAGAATCAAAATTTCTGTCAACTTTTCTGTTTCGAAGGGCTATATGTACTCTTTAAAAAATACAGGTAACGCAGGGTTGCCGAAAAGCGGACAAACGGCGGCTGAAGATCTTGGCTATAACTCGCGTAACTTAGGAAATCTGGAAAAAATTTGTGGCATTAAGTATGAGAAGCAATCATAAGTAACTGGGTCATAATAAAATAATATGGTTCTTCGTAAAATGTTCTTCAAATTTTTTTATAATCCATGAAATCAAACAAACTTTTTTACAGTTTAAAAGAAAAAGTTTTTCTTCAGCATAGTCTGGTTACTTGATAATTGCCGACTATATGGTAGATAACCCATTCTTAAAAAGGGAGAACAAAATAAGGGAATTATGAGCTAATGAGCTAATGTCAAAAGTGACAATATAGACTCTAGAAAATCAGAATGGCAAATGAAACAAAATGACATCCGTTGTGAAAATATACTAGTGTTTTAATTTCTTTTTGTTTCCATTCTTTTGGAATACCTAAAGTTATATATCTTTCAAAAAAAGCAAATGTCGATTATTCTGAATGTAATTAGTGTAAGAATAGGAAACAATACTAAAACTGCCCCTGCACAAGCTAGAATATTTAAAAAGTCTGATTTCAAAAACCATCAACTTTTGATAAATTATGTATATCTTATATTTATTCAAAATCTAAACTCACCATCAGCTCTCAATTGGGGAAGAACCACGTTGTTCGCTGCCTCGACTGCTTTCTGGCATGCTCGACCCGCTGTTTCTACTTCTCTGAAATGGAATGTGGCTAGGTCTTTGTGATTTCGAAATTTGATGACAATATTGAAATCCTTTAAGTCGAAAAGGGAAATTTCCGTCTCCTGATAACAACTACCGAAAATATCAAGTTGAACTACATTTTTTCAGTATCCAGTTTAAACAAAATATGAAGACATATTCTATTTCTACAGAATAAATTTGTTCGAAATATTTGTCAATTACACTTTTAAAACTTCATTTTTGTTTTCCATAAATTCACATTTTCAGATTGGACAAATAAGTTGTAACCACTTTTGTAAACACAAAAAATCTTTGGCTTTGATAGAAGTCAACAGGAACTTTCAACTTTGAACTTAATTATCTCAACTCCTGTGAAAGATATCAAAATTCTGTCAACGCATAATGTGCTTGTCATGATATGCTCCAAATTTTACCAGTGGACAGATTTTTTATATCTTATATAGGAACCGAAATAATTGAGCTGATAGTTTGGATGTGCTTCTGTTAGAGAAAATAAGGTAATGCAACTGGAATTGGCTGAACTTGACAACTATTGAATATTCCTATATCCTTCTAATATATGAAAGTAGTATCCTGAACGAACCTTCTTAGCGAAGCTCCATCTTGAGCTGTTCCGATTCCTTGTGTTGCTACACGAAAGAGTGCAAGTTGCACGTTGCACTCGTGCACCAGCTGCAATACAAAACTCATTCTTTAAGGGGATTTTCATGGTTTTTTGTCTCTGTTTCTGTTTCTCTCTCTCTCTCTCATCTCAATTTCCAAAAAAGGTCCAGCGCCGCCCATTTGTTTGAATTCCGCAGCTCGGTTTACCGATCGGTGAGGGGATCACCGACAAGTGAGCGGGGGCGGCGGCATTGGCGGCGACGATCTGAGGTATCCGTGAACTATTTTTTGCTTGCTTCGTTTTCAAGTATTTAGCCAAACATTAGAAAAAGATGAGAAAATAAATCGAATAGACAAAAAAACCTTGTTATCATCTGCTAAGCAAATTTTTATTCATCTGAAGGTTACTTCCACTGTTTAATGAAAACCTACTGTATAGGTTACGGTATTAAAATACCGTATTTCCCCAAATAGAAGCCCACACGAACCGTCATCTTTGAGCTCAACAATCTCGATTTCTGTGAAAGATATCAAAAAGAGCCCAACTGATAAAACGCTACTGATAATATGATGAACATTTTGTCAATCCACTTTTTGATCTCTTCAACAGAAATCAAGATAATTGAGCTCAAATGAAACGGGTTAGGTGGGCTTTTACCAGAGGAAATGCGGTTATGCAGGTGTAAAAATAATTTGTAGAAAAAAAGACCTTACGCGGTCTCAGAAAACAAAACTACAGTACCCCACAAAAAATGTTCTGGATTTTTTTATTTTGGTCCAGTTCCCACACGAGAGAAAGTTCGGAAAATATTCATATTTTTAGGTTACGGTAGTTTTCCTTCCGGAACCTGTTGCCACGTCTGTTGGCATTTTTCTTCCGCAACTCTTATTGTTCCGAAACTGACAGATAAACTGAGATGAAAACTTGCTTTTCAAATCTTGGTTTTCAATTTTTTTCTTTCGATTTTTTGCAGCCCGACTATTTCCGGAATGTACCAAACTTTAAATTATACTTGCAATTTGATAAAGAGTTCGGAAAAAGTTTCCAGTGATATAAACTTTTTAAAAGTTTTCTGGGTTGGAAAAACATTTTGAAACGGCATACCTCTTGTATTTTCTTTGGATTGGCCATGGAATGCTGTCGCATTCCGCGGTTAGCGCCACCTTATCCAGAGAAGCCTAACCGCGGTGATTCCCAAACAAAGAGTTGGGATCGGAGAGGACGAGAAAGTAGAAGACGTCACACTTTTTGAGTGTATTTAAATACTTCTAGTTGCCAGTACTTTTTCCCTCCTTCTTCGTTCTTTTCTCTCCGTGGCAGCAGTGCCAAGGGTGTCCTCCGACCACCACCACCTCCTGCGGACTGCGCCACGTAAGAGCTGACGAGCTCCTGGAGGACGTCAGCAACGAAGTTTCGAGGACGGTGGGGGAGGAGGAGGTGGAAGGAGAAACTGAAGATGTTGAAGGATCAGAACAGCGTTTCTGGAATTTTATCTTGGATTAAGGTATGAAGGGAAATGCACGAAGAAGAAGAAGAAGATGTTTATAGATTCGCAAACATGATTTTAATTTTTGAGGGCATTTGTCTTCTATAAAAATAAAAATCCAGAATTTATCAGAATATGAAAATAATTCCAAAATCGTTATATCTTCTACACAAAAATCAAAATCTCAATTCTTCACCCATTTTCTGCTTTGAACACACATGATCGATTCTAAGCTATGTAACGTCTTTCCGTCTCTCTTTCATTTATCTTTTCTCTGCGTTGCTTTTGAAGAAGAAGAAGAAGAAGAAGAAAAAGCATGAAATGGGTGGATGCACACACACACACACACTTTTTGTGGAGACACGAGAGACGCAGAGAGAAAGAGAAAGGGGCCCATTGCTCCTTCCTTTGCTCCGTGAGCTCAGTGAAGCTGAGAGCTGAGAGAGAAAAAGAAGAGACGAGGATTTTGAAAGAGAGCATCAGACATGTAGAGAATCGATAATGACTTGGGTTAGCAGAAAAGAAGCTGAAAGGGAAAGAAATTCTGTCAAATGATAGTGTTTTGGGATGATTTGATTTTGGTTTCAGCTTGTGGGCAGTGTTGGATCCGGAAAATTTGGAAAATATTTAAAACAAAAAATGAAAAAAAATGATTATTTTCAGTATATGATTTAAAAAGTTTTTTTCGATTATCCAAAAAAATTAATTAACTTTAAAAGGGTCAGGATGATCTTGAGGTAAATGTTGATCCAAACCAGTTAAAATTGTTTAAATCTTGTGAAATTAAAATAGACGAAACTGAAAAAAAGAGATCAAGACAAATCGAAAATAAGCTGATAGTGTAAGTTTGCATCTTAAAAGCAGTAAAAAATTTAAAATTATTGAAACCGGAATAATGAAAAATCGTTTTCAATTATAGACAGTTCTTGCTTATGGCTTTGTTCAATGATTTATTTATTTTCAAGAATTTTCACGAAAGTCAGTTCTGTAGAAAATTGATAGATCGTCTGCGACATTTTGTGGCTGATCGTTGACATTTGAAAAAGTGTAAAATGTCCATTTTTAATGAAATATTGTATTTGCGAGAATAGAACAACTCTTTGAAACGAATATAAAAGATATTGGTTCGGAGCTCAAGAGGTCATCTTCTATCGGATGGGTGATTCCATCAGAGTACCGTAAAACTTGTAATTGAAGGGCTCCCATACTATTAAGTTGGAGTTCACCTATCTCATTTCCTGTGATAGATATCCAAAAGTGGTCGACTGATAAAATATTTGTGATATTCTGATGAACAATTTATCAACTGACAACGTTTTTATACCTTCTACAGAAACCGAGATAAATTAGCTCAAAGTTTGAAGAGAGAGGTTCCTTATATTACAGGTTTTACAATACTCACATTCGTAAAGATTGAGTGACTCATAATATAAACTTTTTAAAAATGGCATTCCTTTCCTCATTCAAAATAGTGAATTGATCCTTTTTCTTTAAAAATAACTATTGCTCCCGTTCAAGTGTTTCAGTATAAAACTACAAAGAAGAAGAAACATATCCAGTGTGAACAAATGGACAGTAGGAGAAAATTCGTTTTTTAATAACTAACAGAAACATGATCCCAACATTTTCAGAAAAACTATCGAAAAACCAGAATAAAAAATCCAGATCAAAGCTTTCTATGTGTCCATCCAGCTCGGAGAAGCAAGCAAAATGGGCTGCGTTGCGTGCGCGAGACACGCGACGCGTAGCCTCTTTCGCACGCAACTCGTAGTCACGATCTGTGTCTCTCGCTTCTTGTTCTATTCATCGTCGGCTCTCGCTGTCTGGCTCTCTCTTGTTGTATGTGTATGTATACGAGAAAGCTCCCTTTCTTTTGCTTCAATTTTCCTTCACCGCCTTCTCCATTTTTTTCGTTTCGAAAAAAATACAAAAAAATGTTAGCCGAATTCGCAAGATTAAAAAGGAAACCGAGATTACAGCAAAATGATCAAAGTTAGGTTGGGAAAATTTTACGAAGGGGAACAAAAAATTTTGTGACGCCGGGAACATTCACAGTCAAATGGGCTCCAATGGAGAATTTTAATATCTAAAATAATGAGAAAACGAATAGGGATATCGGATGAACAATTTACAACGGAAGATAGTTCTCATTAGAAGCAATGAGAAAAGATGGGGTCTAATAGTTTTAAAAAATTAGTAAAAGTGAAGTGCGTACATAGGCATAAAATCCTGTGGCTGATCGATGCCCGTGTTGAAAACAGGACCAACTGCTCTTGGTTTAAGCATCATCTGTTTCTTTGTTCCCTTTGCCCATTCTTCAGCACGTTGAGCGAGACGTGCTTTCCGTTCAGCGTCATTGGACTTATCTTCATCGTCAGATTCAATCTTGATTCTTTTTGGCTTCTTCTCCTTTTTCTTACTTCCAGATTCTTCATTATCCGACGTGGTCTCTTCGTCACCTTCGCCATCCGAAAGATAACAAGGTGGCACGAAGAATCCATCGTCTTCATCACCATCGTCGTCCTCGTCTTTTTCCTGGAAAAGAAATTATAGAGCGTTTTGAAACAAAAACAACAAAGACACATGATATAGTTCTAAACACATTTTGTGTTTAAATCATTTCAAAAACTTACCGCATCGTCTTCAGAATTAATCTCTTCACAGTCGGATGGTTCATCTTCCCACTCGTCATCTGAATCAACCTGAAAATTGTTCAAATGTTAGGAAAGAGAAAAACCAGAGAAAAAAACGTCTGAAATACACGAAGAACATACATCGTAATCAATGCCTTCTTCTTCTTTCAGTGGACATGATCCAGTGATAGTCATTGGCTTCTTACGCCAGGATCCATAGTAAGGGGGGCGATTGTTTTCGTGGAATTGAAATAGTTTGGCTTTTATTTTACTGCAAAAGAAAACGATGTTCTTATGTGAAGATCTGGAAAAAAGAAGGTTCTCAATTTTTCCCTTACGGAGGTTTGCAGTCGACTGGAACAAACTTGGTTGCTGTTTTGAGAAAAGCTGCCAGTGTGGTTATCTGAATTAGGAAAAACTGAATTACGGTTAAAAGCATCAGAGCAGTACCTCGTCATGTTGCTCGAAAAGATCGCAATCGGACGAAAGAGAAACTCTAGGAAGAATTGAGGTCATTGTCATACCATCTTTTTGTTGGAAGGGATAGTACCAATCAGAAGTGGATTTTTGTGGTTCAGAAACTTTTTTCTTTTCCACTTTACTGAAATACTTTACGAAGTGAGCTGATTCGCGTCGCTTCTTCTCTTCAATAGCCTGTAAACAAACAACTTGGGAACTGGCTAGAAGAAAGGAAAACTGTAACTTAGTTTTATTTTAAACTGTAACTTACTTAGTTTTTTTTTTCTGCGTCCCCCCTACAGCGATATTTTCATATGGCTTAAAGCTCATAGCTAAACTCAACATTTTTACACAGCGCTCACCTCCTCCTCTCTTCTTTTCGCTTCTTTTTTCTCTTCCTCTTCTTTCTTCTTGGCTTCTCGTTTTTCCTCCTCTTCCTTCTTTTTTCTATTTCTTTCCTCTTCCTTTTTCATTTTTTCTTCTTCGTCTTTCTTCTTTTTCTCTTCAGCTTCCTTCCGCTTTTCATCCTTCTTTCTATCCTCCTCAAGCTTTCGCTCCAGTCGTTCCCTAAAATTTTACAGTTTAAGTAGCTCCGTAATAGTTTATTTCATACTTTTCTTTCTTCTCTTTTTCTAATCGCTTTTCCTCAGCCAACTTCTCCTTTTCCCGACGTTTCTCTTCAAGGATTCGCTCGCGCTCAACTCGTTGCCGTTCTTTTTCCTCCAGTTTTTCCAATCTTTGTCTCTCTCGATCTTCTTTAGATGCCTTCGGAGTTCTCGGAGTTTTTGGCGTTCTTGGTGTCTTAGGATCATGCTTTTCCGGAGAATCGTTCAAAACTACCACAGAAGGCTCGGGAGATAGCTAAAACTTCAGAATAAAATACTAAACTAATCTTATCATTAAAATACCTTCGCTTTCTTCGCATCGTTTTCGGGAGGTGTTTGAGCAACGCGTTTTTTTACACCCTTTGAGTTTGAGTCGGTAGTATTCTGTACAACAAGAAACATATGACTTTTCAACCTAATTGTAAAAAAACCTACCTCATTTTGCTCATTTATCATATCATCAGTATTATTTTCTGTTAGTTGAGAATCCTCCATCACTGAAAACGGGAAGTTTACTAAAATATGGAGTACGGAGCAAGAAACGAAAAAAAAATGATAAGAACAGCACTTCAAAAAAAGCTTCAAAAAATAGTTTCGAATACGGAAATCTCCCGCTTCTTGGTATTCTAGGCCACATGATGCTAGGCCACCGGCCACATCTGCGCCTCTCCATTTCTTGTGGTCTCTATTTTCGTCTATTGCGAGAGTTCCGTAAAAAGGAAAGGTTACAAAAATATAGAAAACAACACGCTCTCCCACAGAACATTTCCGAACTGCAAATTAATTTTTGATCTACAGAAAAAAAGTTTGGCGCGATCACAATTGCAGGTCTAAAACCATAATTTCAGAATTTTTTATCTGATTTTGTGGAGTTCCAAGATGATTCAAATGATTCTTAAAAAATTAATTAGTGGTTATAGATTCATGTATGGTCGTTTTCCGGAAGAAAAAAAATGTCAAAAATGGTCATTTTGAAAGTTTTTTACAGAAAAAATCTATCTCCTCTTTCAGTTTTTGACATTTCTAGGAGTTCTATATCTCAAAAAACCGCAATTATTTTCTCTAAATTTTCTATGGATGAATTTTTAATTTGTCTGATAAAACTTTTTTTATAATTCAAAAACCTCATGAAATTGCACAAAATAGCATTTTTGCGTTGTTTTTTGATTATGAAAAAAGTTTTATCAGACGAATAAAAAATTCGTCCATAGAAAATGTAGAGAAAATAATTGCGGTTTTTTGAGATATAGAACTCCTAGAAATGTCAAAAACTGAAAGAGGAAATATATTTTTTCTGTAAAAAACTTTCAAAACGACCATTTTTGACATTTTTTTTCTTCCGGAAAACGACCATACATGAATCTATAACCACTAATTAATTTTTTAAGAATCATTTGAATCATCTTGGAACTCCACAAAATCAGATAAAAAATTCTGAAATTATGGTTTTAGACCTGCAGTTCGGAATTGTTCTGTGGGAGAGCGTGAACAGTGTAAAAATGGAAAAGTCTAGAATTCTAGACAAGAAAGGAGGTCAGTTGAACAGCAAGTGCAATATTCTACCTAGTTTTACAAAAAATTCCTATATTCTCTGGGAAACTATTGAGTTCTGCTAACAAGGTTCTCTACTTTAGCGGAACTCGCAACGTCCCACTGGTGCAATATAAAACAGCCAAAAAATTTCTGATCAAACTCTTGGAATTCATCTATAACTATTTGTACCAACAAATGGGATAACTGTTGCAATACAAAACTAAGCATTTCTTCTGAAATTAAAAATGAAGATAACTAGTGGTACCGTTATCTTTTTTTCAATTTTGTAAAACCTGTAATAGATGGAACCCTAACTTTCAACTTTCAGCTATTTTCTCGGTTCCTGTCAACTATATAAAAGTTTTAAACTGATAAATTGTTTATCATAATATCACAACATTTTATCAGTTAACACATTTTTTACATCTTGCCAGGAATCTGAAATAATTGAGCTGCCACAAATTTACTAAACAATTACTGTTATTTTCAATATCAGTATCCGGAATTGTTCATACTGGTTTGTAAATCTCGGGAATCACCTCGAGAATCAATTTTTCCGAATTCAGGTCCTTTTCGATTTTGAAAAAAGTCTCACCGTCTTTCCGGATATCAAAATCAGAACAGATAACAATACTTATTTTTTATAGATGTACAAACTCATTAATTATTCCAGTATTCATATCATCCGGGATCCAAAATGCAAAGAACTAAACACTGTCCAGTTACTAATGATCCATCGCCCCTTTGATTTACTGTCATAAGGGACTTTCTCCGAATTTCTAAATCACTGCTATTCTGGAAAATGGTACTTGTCTTCTTATCCCTCTTGAACAACTGAACGCAATACGTTGGCATTTGGCCACACGGAGTCTGTTTTAAAAGTTTATAATTCTAAAAATATTTGTCATGAAAATGTACAATATTTGAAAAAGGGAAGCAGAGATAATACGTTTTTTTTGTAAAGTTCTTTATCCACAAATAAAAAACCCTGCCGGCGAGGAAAAGGTATTTTCCTTGCGGCGTACACGCGGCGGGAGAATTGGTTTTTTCAGGCAGGCAGGGTTTTTTTAAGAGTCACGCCGGCAGGGAAAATCTTTTTCAATCCTCCCCTCTCCCTCCGCATCTGATGAATCAATAAAAATAAAAAATTATTAATGAGAAACGGTTTAAAAATAAAATCTTCCAAAAAACAATAAGAAGTAGGGAATTAAATTCAAAGTTTACATTTTGAGAAAAGTGGATATGGCACAAAAATTAGATTCGTCTCCAAATTCTTCACAATTTCGTCTGTTTGAAGCAAATCATGTTGGTTTGCATTCGTTCCGTTTTCAGAGTAATTCATTGTTCGAATCGAAATTCTTGATTCCTGATCAAAACTCGATGACTGAAAATGTATTTTTGAATTTCTTAAATCATCAATATCATACTCACAATATTGTCGATTTTTTTCAGATTACTGTAAAAAGTGAGTTCCGACTGTTTAAATCCGACTAGTTCAACTTCCGTTTGATCGAAATGAGAAGGAAATTTTATGTTGACAATCAAGAGTATCCGAAAAACCTGATAATTTATATTTTTATGAAAACCGGACAATTTCAAACCTTCTCGATTATCTTTTTGTCGCAAGTTGGTTGAGAAGTTGAGAGAACCATATTTTCTAAAAATTGGAAAAATATTTGAGTAATGAAACGAAAATAAAGAAGATTGAAAATAGGAAAACTTGAAAAATACATTTAAAAACAGCAGAAACACTCCGGAATTTCGGAGCTTCGCTTCCTCGCCGGTAGATGACTTTTCTTTCCCTACCATACATGACTCTCTATATCGCCGGCGTGACTCGTTCTGGCCGGCAAGCAAAATTATCATGCCGTCAATGGTTTTCCTCGCCGGCAGGATTTTTCATCTCGTCTGAGGCAAGTGTAAAGGAAAGTGTAAAGGAAACCGGTAAAACGTCGAATGAATTCTAAGAAAATCTTTCAAAATCTAGGACCTACTTAAGAAACCTACTTAAAAAAGGGAGGAAGATTCTGGATTCTAAAATATTCTATACGGTTCCGAAGGGTTCAGGAAGGCCTCTTCTGTCCTCTCAACCTCCTGTCCTCTGTTTACTGTATCTCTAATTTAAGGTCACTTTGGCTGTGAAGTTTATCTTTTTGGTTATTGCAGACGTATTTTTTCCAATTTTTCTGGTTTTTCTTTTAATCTGAGTTTTTGAATTTCCGAGTTTTTTGATAACACACAATGCCTGAATCGAACATTTTTGGAATTACTCATGTCTCGAATTTCAAACCAAGATTTTCCATTTTTCGATTTTCTGCATAACTTTTCAAAATCTGAAATAAGGAATAGTTCAATTCCTAAATTTCTGTAATTCTGGATTTTTTCATATCCGACATTATTATTTTTCTGGGTTTTCTAATTTCGGAACAGGGTTTTTGAATTTCTCAAATTTCGATTTACCCACGCACATCACTTTTTCTAAACCTTTGGTGCTAAAGCAGAGAATAACACTTACGCTGTTAAAAAGGTCTGAAATTCTGAAAGACCTTATATTCTTGCTTGCAACGGGCCGGGCCGGGCTTTTTTCAGAATTAATCGCTGCGCCGGTTTTCAGAAAAAATTGTTTCCTGTATTTTTATAAAAATGTTTGCGGTCAATAGAAATTGTGAATCAGGAAAAAACTTTTCAAGATAACAATGTCCATAAAAAATAGTTTTTTTTCACAAAAAAGTTTGAAAAGATTTCTGAAATTTTACTTTTTTTTAATTTGGGGAACCCGGGCCCGCCGGACCGGGCCCTGATTTTGCAAGTATGCTTATATTTCCGAACATTCAAAGATCTAACTTTGTAGAATTCTGATTTCTTGTTTCTTGGATCTCTCTGAGTTGTTGAAGTTTTTCTTTTGAAAATTCTTAATTTTGAATTCCGAGTCTCAATTCCTAAAATAGGAATTCCTGAAATAGGAACTTCTGAAACTTCGATTCCTGTATGCCAGAATACCAATAAAAAACCTTTTCTCCGATTTTCCGAGAGTAAACGGTACTCAGGAGGTTCAGCCCAGTAGTGGCGAAATTGTGAATTGAATATGCATTCCCTATTTAATAGTTCTTTTTTCAATTTCTGAAATCCTGAGTTCCGAAATTTTCGATTTTCTGATAATCCAAATCAAAAATTTCTGAAACTCTGAATTTCTAAACTCCCAACATTTTGACCCCGAATCACGGAAATTTTCATAAAATTATGGGTATTGTAAGAGGAGGCCATGAAGTTCAGCACCGGAGAGGAAAGCCTTCTCTATAAGAATACATGTATAGTAACTCTCACGATACGTTTAATGTGCTTTAGCATCAAAGGTTCGGAAAAATAGATGTGTGTGGGTAAATCGAAAATTCAGAAATTCAGAAACCCACTCCGAAATTAAAAAAACCTAGGAAAATAATAATTTCGGATATCGAAAAATCCAGAATTCCAGAAATTTAGGAATTGAAATATTCCTTATTTCATATGGATTTTTTTGTATCTATCTAATGATTTTTTTTACTTGTTTTATGAAAGAAACTCCAGTTCTATTCATTTGGTTGTTTAAAAAGCAGTGGTCACTTCTTTTCAAGTTGTTTTTTTTCTGAGGCAGAATTTTGATTCTGAAAAACCGCAGCGGTATTGGAGTCTGGAAACAGTTTGCGGTATAAAGCTCCAGCATTGTCGCACCAAATCGAAAAAATCTCATTTTTATTGAAGTTGTCCAATTGAGTTCGATACCGCCATTTCTCGTGCTTTTTGGTGTGACTGACATACATTACCAACTTCTCATCTCCAGTGGTTTCATGTGGATCCAGTCCGTCATCGGTTGACTGGCGATGAGTGAGAATACCTTTTTCTGAAAATCTGTCAAAATTTGTGGAACGATTTGACCGACTCGTGGAGATTATTGATCTGGCTCTGATTTTTCGAGTATGATTTGGATACTTCTCATAAAGTAGCTTGAGGCGCTTCCTCCAGTACTATTCAGCGCCTAACACTTTATTCGCCAAAAGTCGTTGCTCGAGGGACCCTGCGAGGATATGAACAAAAAAGAATCTTTGAGTGTGTTACGGTCGTCAAGAGGGGCACTTTCTCAGCTTCCTTCCTATGTACTTTTTCAAACTACGGAATAAATAAACTGAAATTAAATAAATGCTGGGTTAGCTGAAATTTTTTGGAGTGTATTAAAAATGAAGTATGAGGCATCAATAAATATAGAAAAGAGTTGGAAAATAAACAAAAATCGGATAAGCAAAGTGACCACAACTTTTTTGGTAACCTAAAAGAAGCTTTACGTTCAGTCCGGGTATCCAATACTCACAAATCCACATTTCTTGTAAAAAATTCATATTTCAGATAACAGCCCAACACAGTTCAATCAAACCACACTAACCAGGATATCATGAGACAATCTGGTTCACATCGCACCTAGAAAATCACTCTGTATTCTCATTGGTTTGATCTTTATGAATCACGTGTCACAAATGATTTTCCTCTCTTTTTTGTATAAAGTCCCTTCTTGCCTCCTTCTTCTTGTTCGTCTCGTTTAAATAAAAAATACCATCATCTATCACTATCATTTATCAGCAACAATCTCATCTTCTTATTTTCTCTCTCTCTCTTTTTTACTATTCTTCTTCTCTTTTACATTTTCTCCATTTTCCGATTCTATTTTCGGCGAAAATGTAGCCATTTCGGTCTTATCACGTATCCGAAATAGCCCAATGCAAAGCATGACAGACTATAAGCAACCACTCGAAATACAATGCAAAACGGAGAGAGTGCAGAGAAACGTAGGTGAATTTGATGTAATACTGATAAAGAAGCATGGAATACAATTGTGTTTGCTCTCATGTTTGACCTGAAATAATAATTTTGTCCATCCATTTCGATTTCCACCTTTCAACTCCCAGCCTCTTATCAGTTCTCTACACCACTTTCAATACCCGGATGGATGGTCTTTGACTCGTGCATTATGTTTTGCCGTTTCATTTTCAAATCCTCCACAAAACGGAAATGACTGTGTAGACATGTTTTCATTCTATCGAGTGCGTTAGAGTTGGGAAAGGAATTTTATAATCGGGAGCACTGAAGTTTCAAAAGAATGAATATTTTTGAAACTTCTGCTCACCGAGAGCAAGCCAGAAGTCTGGATCGAATAAATATGAATTTCTGAAGTTCGACCTCAAACCAAGTTTGGATGCTCATATTAGAAAAGTCAAAGCCTGCCGAAAGACTGAAAAAGTCTTGTTATATTATGGCAGACTAGTTATGAAAGTTATATATATATATATATATTGGCTATATATTATGGTTATGAAATGACTAAAAAACATTTTATATCTAAAAACCCAAACAAGGATACTTTCTAAAAGTGATTCTCCAACAAAATGTTTCCGGAAACACATTATATAGTTTTGTTATAGTTATCATAACACAATCATATGTGTCCTATCCATGAACCACCGGGCTGGGCCAAATTCTAAGTTTCCCCCATCTCTGGTCAAATTTCGAAACTTTAGAAATGTGGAAACTACCCTAGAACCTCTAATAGTAACTAACTTTTACCAAAAAAACTTTAGACCAATTTTTCTCGGTCCCTAATAAAGATTTCAAAAAGTTTTCAACTGATAAAATGTTTGTCATAATATCAGAAGTTTTTTGTCATTTTACACATTTTTATGTCTTTCACAGAAAATGAGATAATTGAGCTCAAACTTGACAATGTGAGGGGCCTTCTATTACAGGTTTTATGATATACACATGTTGATTATCATAGCGAATTTTCTAAAGAATTGTTTTCAATAAAGCTTTATGGCGACTTTTTCGAAAAATCAGTTTCCGAGGAGATCGGAGATTCAATAAATTGTATCTGTGCAGCTGATTTTTAAACTGAAATCATTGCTCCAAAAACCGTGCTTTAAAACCTGTAAGAGAAGGTCCCCTTTACTTTTAGCCATTCTTTGTGGGTTCCTGTAAAAGATATTGAAAAATTGTCAACTTAAAAAATGTTTATCGTAACATCAAAACTATTTTTCAGTTGACACAATTTTGATATCGTGCATGGAAATTGAAATAGTTGAACTCAAACGGAACCTTCTATTACAGTATCCAAGGTATATTTCTTCGAAGGTTTTGCCATGATCGGAACATTGACGGTAAGTTTCTAAATTCATTTTTGAAGACGTCATCTCTGATCAGTATCTCTTCATCACTTTGTCCCTTTTATCTCATTAATTTATCAATATCTGTGACAACCGGAAACACTTTCTCATCTGCGTTTCCCGCTTCTACAGTTATCCCCAATATTCTCTCATTTTCTCACAATTCCCTTCTTTTGTTGAGCCGGTTCGTTATTATTTCTAGACACGAAAGAAAACCAAAAATAATAGATGTCGCCGACTTTTCGGGAAAATCGACAATTTCCGGGTAGGTGGGATGCAAAAGGAAAAATGTCACATAACTACTTTTATAAACCTTTTCTTCGGATTGACGTCAGTTGATTTTTATGTTACCGTAATTTAGAAAGAAAAAAAGAAATCGGTTTTCGTTTGTATATATTATTTATGTTTGGCTCTTTGAATGTAATTGAATCCAATTCTTCTGACAGAAATCATATATATTTCAATTG